ACATTATGACATTTAAATATCAAGGTGACAGTTTAATGCTGTTTTGTAGCGGGTGGTGCAATGGTTAAAGGATTGAAACAAGAAATCATAGAGTTGGGTTCAAATTCCACTTGAGATTGTTACTCACTTTAGTACAAATACCCATGGGAAATATATGAATCAACCTCTTCTCCCCCCTGGTATGGGTTTAAATATCAATGCAAACTGGAATCTCTAGCCACAGTTGGTAACCAGGATAGGAGAAGGACAAATTTGAATTCAAAACCTTCTGTGGCCCTAGTGGGGGCATATACTGTAACTAGTATCTGCTTAGTATAGTTGCAGTATAAACTGTTGGTTGGCTTTGTGGATGTTGAAGAAGCACAGATGAACATGATTGGAAAAGAGCAGCCATATGGAAAATGAGAAATTACATTGATTTACAGTGTGCCTTCAAGTCGAAACCACTCTGATGATGGTAGTAGTTTTTTGCGTTGAGGATATTTTTTTTTTTTTTTTTTTTTTTTCAATGTTATTTCTCATTTCATTTTAAAAATTTCAATTTTTACTTTGACCAGTTTGCTATTTAAAGAAAAAAAATTACTGCTGTTTTTCACAAAATGCTTTTATAGGTAGAAGGTTAGAGAGTAAGAGACAGAGTTTATGAAAATGTTGGGAAGATAAGTTAATTCTAGATTTGAACAGGTTAAGATTGTAGTGATTGGAGAAGCATCCTCCTGGGAGTTGATCCCACAAAGCAGCTGTTTGTGGTAAGAAGCAGTTCGAGTGGAACTTACATCTCAACAATGGAATACGAAGGGAATATGAGGGTGTTTTGCTCCAATGTGTATGACATGGCGGGTCTTAACCGTGGTAAGTTAGAACAGGTGAAACTAAGAAATAATGAAAATCGTGATAGAGTAGCAAGAGGCTTGCAACATTTTGTTTTTGGGGGAAAGAGGTTGTAGGATAGAAAATAATTCTTCACCCACAAGCCCGTATAGATGCTTTTAGACTATAGAGAGAGACTGGGAAGAGAAGACTGGGCAGCTCCTGCCCATATATGGTAGCAGTACTCCATTTCCAGCCTAATCTGGCTCCATTTATGGGACAGAAACATCACTTTTTAAATAAGTGTCATTAATAATAAAAAGAGAAGTTTGCAAGTATAATCATCTCTTATGAATTCACTCTGATTTTTCACACAAAAAGTTGGTTACTACTACAATAACTATATTGTTAATTATTATTTTTCAATTGCCATTTTGTTTTATATCTTCAGATAAATATTTATTGCTACGTGACTCTCTTTAGGGAGCAATATATATATATATATATATATATATATATATATACACACACTGATTTTGAAGAAAATGAGCATATCATGATGAAAAAATGCCCCCAAATTAATAAAAACAAAGTTTTTATCATCAAAAATCTTTGTTACTATTATGAGGAAAAACAAAGGATTTTTTGATTTATTAAAATTTTCTTTTTTTTTTTTTTTTTTTTTTTTTTATATCTTTTACACACCACTTATTTAATTTTTTAAAATTTTGAGAAATTAAATTTTGTACTGTTTAATGTTTGTATTAGTTATACACAAAGATCTTTGGAGAATTTAAATCATTAAATTTTATTTTTTGTAAAACAAGATCCCCAGTAACCAAAAATCTGTACTGAATCATAAAATAAAATTTAAATAAACTAAGATATATTATAGACATAAAAAATTAAACTTCCATCTGTCAACATCTTAAATAAACAACTATCTGTGTTAAAAGCACATTTTTGTGATATTTTAAACTAAAATTAAGTAATATATTTGTTTCAAGTTGGATTAAGCTTTAAATCTGCTATTATACCTCAATGTTCCAGAAAAATGTTTTATTCTTCAATAAAGAGAATGACATTGTGTTGACAGATTGCTAAAAAGGTCACTAAATTCGGCAATATTTAGTGATTTCAAAATGAAAACTCCTTCCAGTCAATTTAAGTTAATTTTGAAATAAAACAGCAAATTTTGCTTGTTGGAAATATTACATTTAATCCATTAGCCTAAAATAAAAACTTCAAAAATGGACTGCATAAGATGGCATACTGGGGGTGGGGGGAAAGAGTGCTCAATGCTATAAAAAAAAAAGTTATATTTTAAGTAAAATTTCAAGTGGGCAGTGACCCACCATGACTTCCAGTTTCATGCACTTTCTTGCTATCATATATAATCCTCACTTCTTAGTGAATTTATACCTCATTGGGGACTCATAAACCTTGTGACTTACTAAACAAATAGTAGATAGATAGTAAATATCAATGGGATCCTTTCCTGGAGCATTTGTTAGAAAGTTAGACTATCAGATCATTTGTTGAAGCGAGTTTGATTCTCACTGGATGCTTCCCAGTTGTAGCCTTGTACCAGGCTTGATTATAAACATGGAAGAAAGAAATAAAAAAACAAACTAGTAAGCAGTTTGAATGTGGTCTGAAGTTACTAGTGTTTCTTTTGCATTAGCATCCTTCGAAAAGGCACTTGTCTCTGCACTTTCTTCTTGTTTAGTGTCATCATATACCTTGTCACTGGCATGCCACATAGGTGAATAAGTACTTTGGCAAAAACTATTCTGATTTTACTGCTCAGGCAGTAGTAATCATGAAGTTGGTGGGGCAGGGGACAGTTACATCCATTGACAGTTTTAACAGGATCCAGTCACAACAATGGCTGTTGTAATCTTTTAGGTGCATTGCATTTGTTTCTAATGAAGCCAAATTTAGTTAATACTCCCCCTCCCCGCCTTTAATATCGGTGATTACTAGGTGAAACATATGAAAGAATTTAAAGTGTAGTGTTTGATAATGTAAAGAAATTTATATTTTATAGTACTTTACATTTCTTTGTCATAAAACAAGTGTTACAAAGGAAGTAATGAATTTTTTTTTTCTTTATTTTTATAAGGTGAAAAATGACTTTGATAAAAATGACTTTCTTCCTGCCTCTTTTATGAGACATAACTGTCACTTTTCACTCACGCTTAAGTGCAATTGATTGATTTGTCACTGGTCTGTGTCCCATATAGATGTTTGAGTCTGGGAAATCATTTTTGTTTCTAGGTTGAACCCAAAGTTTCCTAATTTTCCCAGCATGCCCCTCTCTCTCTCTCTCTCTTCGTTTTTTTTAAGTTTCTTTTTAGTTTCTTCTTTGACTCTGTACTTTTAATGTACTTTTAATTAGACTGTTCTAATTGGATTATCTGTCTGGCTATTTCTCTGCAAATACCTACCCACTGTCTGTTGTACTTTCAGTTCTGATGAAATATAGGACACTTAGTTTCTTTGTTCTTCATTCTTGCCAAGATAAAAATGGTTACATTGTCAGAAAGATATCCAAGGTGGTTGTATTTTATTCTCTTTTTTTTTTTTTTTTTTTTTTTTAAAGTCTGTCCTTTCTACTTGTTGAATGTTCCAACTTAACTTTTATTATCTCTTATTTAAAAAAAGAAAAAAAACTCTAGCTTAGTAATGCTAAATATATCGGTCCCTTCGAAAAAAGAATACTATTTCGTTATTTAGATCTGGAGGTTTGTAAATAGCTACTCCAAAAAAAATCTTGTTCAGTTTTTGTTTTTTCTGTTTCTGTTTTTAAATTCATTTATTTATGTACTTATCATTTTGTTTTCAGCTGGTAAAATGATGGTTGGTATAAAATGACCCATATACATGTCCATATGTAATGAAATTTTTGTCACTTGTTTCTTTGAATTCAAATAATCTGAACAGAAAATGTACAATGTTTTTAGTGTGTTGATTTTTTTTTTTTTTTCTTTTTCTATTTATGGTTTTGGGTTTTGTATCAGGTTTTGGCCAGAAAGTTTGTTTGGTTATTAAGTAAATTTTCATATTTAAAAGGTGAACTAACTTTTTAGCCATCCCAATATATTAGGTGTAGGGAATCAAAAATAAGATATTGCTTTGGAAAATCATTCACGATGAGCCAGTTAGGCTGTGACCCCCAAACGACTACAAACTTTGCTTAGTTATTGCCATTTCTTTGGATCCTAAAAGAAATTGTCAACACACTTTGGTTGTTGTGGACATACTTGTACATCTTGATGAAACTTACATTACCTGCTCTGTGTGTGTGTGTGTGATATGCTCTCGTTCACCAATTGAGCAATAGGGAGAAAGGGAATTTTTAACTACGTCTGCTTAATGTATAGCTCTTCATCAGATTTGAGCACTCTGGCTGTTGGTTAAGCGTTTATATACATTATGTATATAATACGTTAAAAGATTCCCTTTCTCTGCTGTGTGCTGATAGCTTGGGGGTAGAGTCTCTGACTGTTGCTATATTGGTTGAGTTTTGATCCTGGCTTGAAGTAATCGGATATCTAGTCACACTGATAAACTGTGAAACAGTCTGGAGATATTTTTAAGGCACTGAAATATTGGTCTCTAAACTAACAAGCACTTAGTGATTTTTATTATTGTGATATTGAATTTGGAAGAGTTTCATTTACCTTAGTCTATACCACAGAGTATCATATTGAAACCAAAATGGTGGTACCTATGAGAAATTACAGTCAGTATCTCTTATAGTGATTTATTTCCAGCAAGTGGAGATTTCCTATTTTCCAGCAGAGCCAGGCAACAATGTTATGAAAATGCAGCAGTAAAAGTGTTAATAGCTGCTGTTTTTCCATTTAGCTTTTCATTAGTACAAATTTCTGATCTAGCTGAAATTCAGTGTTATCCATTTCTGGAATAAATTCTTCCTAGAAAAGGAGAAAATTTAACAAAATATGAAATTTAAAAAAGAAACAGATTTTGATGCTTTCATGAAAGAATTATTTTAAATCTTTTCTAAGAATATTTGTATTGAAATTTATTCTTTGTGTACTTTGTTTCTACTTGTCACTCATGAAATTTGTGTTTTTTTTTTTTTTTTATGCACATACATACACACACTAAATTTTGGTTTGTGTTTTTTTTACCATTTCTTGTGTAGATGTGTGTCTCTTGTAATGGTCTTAAAGAGGTTGATTTGTTCCCTGTTTCTCTTTTGCTCTTCTTTTCCTGCAGAAGTACTTGGTTCCTATTCGCAACTGCTTAAGAGCATTGATGAACCCTTATTCTACCATTCTGCTGAAGAAATAGCCTTTCTCCTCTCACCAATGGCTTGCAAGGGTGGACCAAACCAAAGGAATTCTTCAGGCTGGAAGAATGGGGAAAACTTTGTAAGTTCTTGTCATGCCTTTCATTTATTTATTTATTTTTTTTCCCCTAACTTTTTTTAATAAATTTTTTTGATTCCAATCAACCTTATCTGAAGCAAATTAATCACAACTTCGATACAATTTCAAAATTTGACCCTTGGCCTTGATTGTTTCACTCGCATTTTGCCTGTTGTACCCAGTGACTTTCCTTTTTTTTTTTTTTTTTTTTTTTTTTTGGTAACGTACTTATTATTGTATTTCATAATCTCCTGGAAATATTAAAAGATCCTTTTTATCAGGCCTTTCAGATGTAGGGCAGTAGAATGTTCTTGTTTAGTTGTTTCTGCTAGAGGAAAAGGTGGGGCATATCAGTTATTTTGTAATTTGTGATCTCACTTCTGCTCATTCCATTAAATTGGTATAATGTGAATTTGTATCCCACCCTCCCCTAAAATAACAATCTCTCAAAATACTAAATATGCAGCTAAATATTAATACATTAAAGTTATATAACTCTTACCTATTTTACAATTTGATAATATATTCTGAAAGCATTCATGTTTTTAATATACCTTTTGGATTATGGCCATCAAAGTTAAACCACATTGAGCTTGATCAATACTTAGATGGGTGACTTCTTGGGAATGCCAGATACTGGTGACTTGGATACATGAGGGGGTGTAATAGATTGGAAGTGGAAAATCCAATTCCAGTTTGGTTCGTTATATACACTTGCATGCAAATACCTTTGGGGGGGGGTATGAATCCACCCCCCTCTTATTCCCTTATCTATGGGTTAATTAGTAGGTAAATAACCTGCCAAAGGTTGATAAGCCATGAAAAAAACAAAAATCAAATCAATCTAATATACCTGTATGTTCGTCTTGTCTGATTTTCAAGAGCACCTCTCTCAACTGGGAAAGACACTGGAGTTATATAGCGCTCTCCCAGTCTCAGACTTACACTGACTATTGGCTAATACCTGTCCAGTATCATTCAAATGTAAATAGCCAGTGCCACTTAGAAGTAGAAGGTCTTCTCTCAACTTCCCATTGTCGAAGAGGACACAACTCCTGGTGTTTACAGCATCACATACAACCAACTCGGAGTCTTTTATCAGGCCGACCTGATTCTCTGTTACAACCTGCAAAGTAAATAGATATAATAAATTATCAAATGGTTGCTGCAAAGACATTTCTTACATATGGTAGGGACTCCATTTTTTTTTAATCCTAACCAAAGTTTTCATAATTCATGGAAATTGATGTTAAGACATTAACTGGTAGAAATTTTAAAATTGAGCAAGAACTTCAATGAGGAAGATTTCAAGACATTAATTGGGCAACTTAGTTAACTTTATGTCCCTGTCCCTCCCATCAGAATTGATTCCAAGGTAGAAGTAGTTAATTTTTCCCCATTTTAAAGGAATGTAACACAATATTCTGATTACTGTAAAAAGTCCTGAAATGTTAAAGAGGAGTCATTCTTGTGTGAACGCAATAAACTTAAGAATTCTATTTCTGCTGCAGGTGCTTACTAATTTCAAACTGTAGACAAAAATTGTAACATATTTTATTGAATGTTGCTACGTGTTTTTCAGAACTTTCATCAGCTAAAGATTTACCTAGAATTACTTTTCAAGTTCAAATACAAAAATACAATACAAACTTGCAAGGAACAATAATTCAAAATTCTTAGAGAAGGGGGTGGGAAAAAAAAAAAAAAGCAGGGGTTTGCATAACATATGGTGTGCTTATAATTCAACAAAATTACTTCTATGTTCTCAAAAACGTTATATATGATTTAAGTTGTTTATTTAAATAAGGCTTCCCATTTAGCAATGTATAATCTTTTTTTAAAATAGACAGTTTATATAGTGTGTTTGTCCTGTCAATGATAGAGAAACAATTACACTTTTGTTTACACTGATCATTATTTGAGAAAAGTTTGAAAATAATTTTAAATTAAATGAGCTTATTTTTGATTTATCAAAGAAAAGACAATCTGTCACTTTGAAAACGCATTCGCAGATATGCAATGAGTAGAATGTTTGTGTGTGTTGGTTATTTTTTTCCTTTTCTCTTCCTCCTGGTTTATTCTAAAAATCCATTTTTTGCACTTACATGATTCCATACTTTGTCTTTCTAAAAATACTACTTAGAAAGAATGCCAGGCCCAAAATAATTTTAGATTATCCCATTGGTGTTGATATGCCATCTATTCTAATTTTCTTAAGAATTTGAAGTATAATTCATAATCAACATTTTAAGTGTTTATTTGTGCTTGTTTATTCTTTTGTTCTTTAAAAACAAAAAATCTTAAATTAAAATGAATTTCATTTTTTTTCTTCTTTTTTGTCACTTTTTACTGTTTTTTCTCTCTTGGTAGTCACACAACAGACAAAATCAAAGATCTGCTTTCCACCCGAATCATTCCCAACAAGTCAATAGAAATTTGGGTAAGTATTTAAACACTGTTTCTTGAACATTCTGCCTGTGTTTAGATTTATAAGACCTGCCTCTGTTTAACCAATCTTAGTCTCTGCTGCATAAGCATGTTTATTATGTTGGGTGTGCCTGAATGTTTAAAAAATTTAACCTAATCTGACACCAGCTCAACAAAGCAGGGATACTTTGTGTGTGTTATGATACAAATAAATAAGACCTATCAAAATACGTAAAATTACTAGAATTTAACATACTTCAAGGCAAGAAGAATTTTTGTCAAGAAAATGCTCAATAGAAAACGAATGTGTGATCAACTTATCTTTTGAGTGACTTCAATATTTTGAGGATGCACCACTCATCAGGGGCAGATAAATCTATTGAATTATTACCAGATATATTTATACTCTACATACATGGTAATCATAAACTTAAAATTTCTATGCTAGAGTCTGCTAAGAGTATGACAACATTTAAGTAATCAGAAGCAGTTTAATATAATTCTATTAAAATGTTTGATATATAATTTTACTGTTTATAAAATATATGTCGTCGTCGACGACTCTCCTGTTGAATTTGATGTATGAGGGTTAAGCAGATCAATTCCCAGGAAACTGACAGCCCGACAACAGCACATGAGATTTGAGATAGATAGATAGATAGATATAGATATATATATATATATATATATATATATATAATTTTTTTTTTTTTTTAAGTAAAAAATCTTAAAAAATAAACTTGGCAAATTCACCAATTATTACTTAATATGAAATATTAGAGGATATTGTAATATTCAAATTAAACCAATTATTTATTTGGTCAATTATATATTTATTGTATATTTATTTGAATAACCTCCACTCCAATATCAAAAATCATCCCCCACAAGTCATTTTATGTATGGGGCAGTGAAATTAGGAATGAGCTGCTGAGTAAGCACTCACATATGTATAATAAAACATATACGGATTTAGTATTATGACTATTAAAGAGGAATTGCTGAAATTTTGTCTGTGTGTGAAATTTCTATTTTAATTCAAATTTAAAAAAAAAAAATGTCTTCTTTAGAAGATGAACTATTTCGGCAAGTCATAATGCAACATTTAAAGAAAAGGAAATGTGTTTGTTAGTTATAAATCATTTTTTGCAAGGTTATCCCCCTTTGATTTTGTCAGCATTCCCGCCAAATCTTTCCTTCTCAATGGCCAACTGAATAGACATTGTAATTAGCTTTTTTTTGTTTTTTTTTGTCCATGATTGTTTTTCTTGGCTGGAATCTTGAAAGCTGCTCAGACTGTCAGTAATGTTAGAAATCTCAATTAACTATGAGGACTGTTGCTAGAATTAAATGGACAGTGACCGATTGACTGACCAACATACTTATTCCAAAAGTGTATATATATATATATATATATATATATATATACACACACTGTGTGCGATGGGTAAAGTGTTGCCATTTTTTATTTTGTACATGTGCATTATTTGTTTTTGATTTTGTTGACTGCACATTATAGTGGGGTCAGTTGGGCACTCTCTAGAGCACCATGACGCAATTCACTCTACCAGAAATTTGGAAATGGCATACTGTACTGTTTGGCCTTTGTACCGCAAGCTCCAATATGAACATTTCAGAGTGTTTGGGTGTCAATCTGATGACAGTACAGAGGATTCAGAAAGAGTTAGATGAATCTAATGGTGATTATGAAGGTGTTTGCTGTGATGCCAATGTTATGCCTCCATCCAACTTTCCACAAGGCCTCAGACTCAACACAGAGGCCTACATCAAATGCCTTGAGGTGGTAGTGCTGCACTGGGTCAAGAGGGTGGCTGCTGGAAGACCCTATGGCAACAGCACTCTGCACCATGCTACACAATCAGGAGAACCCAGTTATAACTGTCAAACAATTTCTATGACCACATCACCGCTTACATCTGGCCACCTAACTCCTTAAATTGCAACCCCCTTGATTATTATGTGTGAGGCACAGTTGGGTGAGAGACCAACAAAACTCCTTGTAACACCAAAGATGAACTGAAGGCAAGGATTATGGCAGCATTTGCTAACATAGAGACCACCCCAAAGAGTTGCATGAAATTCTGAAGTTGTCTAGAGGCTGTGGTTGAAACCAATGGCAATTTTATTGAATAAATTTACTCTTCAGTATTTCAACATATTTTTGTGTAATTTTGGTAAATGTATCTTTTAAAATGAGATGTCAATGTTATTTTCATTTTTGCCTAATTTAGATGACAATTTATCCATCACACCCTAATGTGTGTATGTATGTATGTGTGTATGTGTGTGTGTGTGTGTGTGTGTGTGTGTGTGTGTGTGTGTGAACTTTATATATATGAGGTCTGCCTGAAAACATGATATCTTGGGAGTATGTAAGTATAATCTTAGCTTTCTGCAACTATTGGATTTTTTTTCCTCGTGTGAGAGTTGTGGCAGGACAAATTGTTGGTGCTTCACCACGACAATGCACCTGCTCACAATGCTCTGAGCATCCGGCAGTTACTGGCCAAAAAGAACATTGTCGTACTGGTGCAACCTCCCTATTTATTTGCTCTGTGTAACATTATTTTTTTCTTTTCTCCATGCTCAAGGGGACCTGTTTTGAAGACATGGGGGTTGTCAAGCGGGCTCTAATGACAGAGCTGATGGAGATCCAAGAAGAACCCTTCTGGCAGAGAAGGGTGGAAAAGTACATTAGACTTGAGGGGGATTACTTTGAAGGGGAAACCATGTTGTTTAGAATTGAAAGAAATTGTTTGTGATACCAGTCCTGGTACTTTTCAGACAGACCCTCATATATATATATATATATATATATATATATATATATATATATATATATATATAAAAAATAAAATATTAAGAAGGAAAAACAAATGGAGTTAGAATCCACAGTTCTTAGCATTTACATTTTAAAAAGTGCTCAATACAAATGTAGAGCAAAATATAATATTATTAAAATATATTTTTATTATATTAACAATAAAAACATTTTTACATCACTACACAAAAGCTTTCTTATTTTAGAACTTTAATAGTTCCTCATTGGACAATGGTACATAATATAAATGATTTATTTGGGAAATTTGAAAATAAATCGTTACCTCTTTTGAAAGTTAAAAAGGACTTTCAAAAGAGGTAACGAATTGTTTTGAAGTGTAAAAAGAGAGCAGCTTTTATTAAGCTTGATATCATTGACTTGTATTCTTCTATTTCCAGAGATCTCTTAATGGATTGCATAAATTTTGCTAAGAACCATATGGAGATATCTGATGATGAAATCAATATCATATTTACTGCCAGGAAATCACTCTTAACACTTAATGATTCCACCTGGATTAAGTGTGGGAGTGATGACTTTGACATCCCGATGGGAGCCTTTGATTTGGCCCAGGTTGCTGATCTTGTATGCCTATATATTCTGAAAATTCTTAGTAGAATTGTTGGACCTAAACTAGTAAGCTTATGTAGAGATGATTGACTCATTTATGTTCCTAATAGTAATGGTCTTTTTACTGTAAAATTATAGAAAAAATTATTAGTGTTTAAGTTACTTGAGTTTAAGATAAAGATTACTTTCAACCTCAAAATGGTAGATTATCTAGACATCACACTTAACCTGAAGACTAATACATTTAAACCTTACCATAAAGAACATGAAACACCTAACTACATTAATGTTGACTCTAACCACCCTTTTACTATCTTGAAGATACCAATTACTGTTGGTTCCAGAATTAGTAAGCTTTCATCTAATAAGAATATTTTTAATAAAAGTAAAGAATTGTATGACAATGCTCTACAAAAAAGTGATCACGAATAAACTATCTTACTTAAACCCCATAAATAACACTTGTGAGGATAATAGGAGTAGTAAGCGCAAAAACAAAAATAGAAATATATGGTTCAATCCCCCTCTCCTTCTGTAAGTTAACTAAAATTAATATCAGACAGGTTTTCTTGAAGTTTATAAACAAACATTTCCAAAAAAATAAGCCTTTAAGTAAGATCTTTTAATAGAAAAACTATCAAAATAAGTTACTCATGTACTAAAAACATGTTTAAAATAATTAACTCCCACAATAAGTATATTCTAAATAAATTCAATGGTGTCAACAAGAAACCTAGTATGGATCCCCCTATAATTGTAGAAATAGCAATCTTTGTTCAGTTGAGGGGAAAATGCAGAGCATCTAATGTTATTTATTGAGCAATCATTTGCTCCAAAGAAAATAGATTAAACCACCATATTTATATCGGGATTTCTGCAGGGGAATGGAAACAGACTGTATAACCATAAACACTTTTTTTTTTTTCCAACCCAAGATTAAAATACCAAACTGCTCTCTCAAAAAGATTTTGGGAATTGAGGGAAAAAGATCTAAACCCTCAGATTGACTGGAAATTTATAGGTTTCTCTCAAACTTCTAGTAATTTTAAGGGTAGATGTAACTTGTGTTTAGAAGAGAAAATTAGAATTATTAAATTTGACAATCAAAATATATTACTAAATCAGAGGAATGAGTTTGTTTCCAAATGTCATCATAGAAGTAGATTCAAACTGATATAGAATATTTTCCATCTCGCACTTTCCATTAACACCTATACTGCTATTTATACTCCTTATCACTCTTCTCAAATAACCTTCCTCCTATGTTGGTTTTCATTTTTCTTCTTATTTTTCTTCTTATTTTTCTTCTTATTTTCTTCTTATTTTTCTTCTTATTTTCTTATTTTTTCTTCTTTTTCTTCTTATTTTTCTTCTTATTTTTCTTCTTATTTTTCTTCTTATTTTTCTTCTTATTTTTCTTCTTATTTTTCTTCTTATTTTTCTTCTTATTTTTCTTCTTATTTTTCTTCTTATTTTTCTTCTTATTTTTCTTCTTATTTTTTCTTATTTTTTCTTCTTATTTTTTTCTTCTTATTTTTTCTTCTTTTTCTTCTTATTTTTCTTCTTTTTTTTCTTCTTATTTTTTCTTCTTATTTTTCTTCTTATTTTCTTATTTTTCTTCTTATTTTCTTCTTATTTTTCTTTATTTTTCTTATTTTTTCTTCTTATTTTTCTTCTTATTTTTCTTATTTTTTCTTCTTATTTTTCTTCTTATTTTTCTTCTTATTTTTCTTCTTATTTTTTTCTTCTTATTTTTCTTCTTATTTTTCTTCTTATTTTTCTTCTTTTCTTCTTTTTTCTTCTTATTTTTCTTCTTATTTTTCTGCTTATTCTTATTTTTCTTCTTATTTTTCTTCTTATTTTTTTTTCTTCTTATTTTTCTTATTTTCTTCTTATTTTCTTCTTATTTTTTCTTCTTATTTTTCTTCTTATTTTCTTCTTATTTTTTCTTCTTATTTTCTTCTTATTTTCTTCTTATTTTTTTTTCTTCTTATTTTTCTTCTTATTTTCTTCTTATTTTTCTTCTTATTTTTTCTTCTTTTTCTTTTTTTTTTCTTCTTATTTTTTCTTCTTATTTTTCTTCTTATTTTCTTCTTATTTTTTATTTTTCTTCTTATTTTCTTCTTATTTTTCTTCTTATTTTTCTTCTTATTTTTCTATTTTTCTTCTTGGTTTTTTTCTTATTTTTCTTCTTATTTTTTTTTCTTATTTTTCTTCTTATTTTCTTCTTATTTTTCTTCTTACTTCTTACCTTTTATTTTTGTTATTTTTCTTCTTATTTTTCTATGTATTGGTTTATTTCTCTATTAAATTCTTTTTATATTTAATTTTTTTAAATTTATTTCTTTTTTTATTTTTTTTTAAATATATACTTTTACTTTATTTCTAGTATTTACTTTTATAATTTGTTTTTATAGGTTTATATTCATATTTTACTTTTATTTATATTTAATACTCATATTTATCATTAAATTACTTTCCTAATAGCTGTTTTTTAATTTTTTTTTATCATGTTACTTTTATGTTTGTAGTTAAATTGATATTTCTCTCTTTAAAGGTTTTTTTTTAAATTTTATCTATAATTATTTATATTTTATTTATAATTTACTTAAGTTTGATTTCTTTTATTTATTATTATTATTTAAATTTTACTTGTTATTTATAATTAATATTTCTTTTTAAATTTATTAAATATTTGTCCCTGTTATTTCATTAAAAATTTATATATATTTTTTTAATTATCTTGTATAATTTTATGTTGGATGTCGTCTATTTTTTTTTTTTTTTTTTTTTTTTTTTAACGGTCTTATTATTTTAGTTTTCTATTTTTTACCCCTTAGTTTTTATCCTTATTATTTCATTAAAAAGTTTTTTTAATTTCTTATTATTTAATTATTTTTTACCCTTTTTTTAAATATCAATTATTAAAACTTTCTCTAAGTTTTAAAGATTGAATTTCATCATATAATTTTCCTTTTGAAACATTATTTTAAAATATAGGTCAAGGTTATTTTAACTGGTGTTAAATTTTCTACTGTGTTGTAGCTGTCTAGACGTGTTCACCTCCCCTTTCTTGCCCCCCCACTCTCTATTTTTGTTTTGTTCTCTTCTTTCCCCACTTTTCCCCTTTCCTCCCTGTTAAATTCTTTTACTTTTCTCTTAATTCCTCTTTGTTTCCTTAAAAGTTTAGATATCTTTTAGCTTCCTCTTTATTTTATCTTCTAACCCTTTGGGGTTGACAAACTCTTGGGAGAAACTTTTTTTCTCTCTTTCGAGGTGAAATGGCCATACAGATGGGATATTTTTGAGTTTCATTTATATTTTATATATATATATATATATATATATATATGTGTGTGTGTGTCAGTGTTACCTTGGTTCTTATCACATTGCCTATTGAAGAGACATGAAACGGAAACCTGAATTCTTTTTTTATAAAGAATAACAGGAAGCATTGAAATAACTGACAGCAATCATCCGACTTCATTTTAGGAAAGTCATAAACATTAAAACTAGAATTCCTGTCTCTTCTTTCTCTCTATAAAACTGTCAGCCAAGTCTCATTAAGTGTACCTGATATGGTGGGGGGGCACATTAACAAAGGCTTGAACATTGGGGACACCTTCTTTACTCAGCCTCCATATTTATCATTCCTGATCATTGTTTATAGTTTGGCTAGTGAAAAAGTTAAGATTACTTGTTGAGCTGGGGTCATTAATATATAAAGCTATTTTCATTGTCTGTCTGTCTGTCAGAGTGCATTTCTCTGGTTTGTTTATTTTAACATACAAATCAACTTTGATAGTCTCCAAGTGTTGATTAAAGTTTTAGTATTTATACAAAGACTGTCTTGTTTATAAGAGGCAGTAAAAGGACAATTTTGTCTTTTGTTAGCTGTTTGTTGTACAATATTATTCAAAGAAAGCATTATAATATCAAATCTGTTTATGACTTTTACCCAGTTACAAATTGTGGAAAGTGGAAATGTTAAAAAGTTTCTTCTAATTTTTTATATTTTTTTTTCTCCAGGCTATGATCCTCAGAATTCAAGTCCTGCCCAAAAGAATAGTTACCATAATCAGAACTTCAAAAACAACAACAAACAAAATAGCAATGAAAGTTTTTTGGTAAGTTTTTCTTTCTCCCTCAACATTATCATTGACCCATTGTACTTAAGAGGCATCTTAAAATGTAAATGACCATCAAGTCTTCATTATGTGCCAGATGCAATGATCACATTTAATGACAAACCACTGGATATTTAATTCTTTTTCCTTTTCTTTCCCCCCCCTTTTCTCCCCCCTTTCTCTTGCTCCCCCCCCTTTCTCTGCTTCTCCCCTTTCTTTGCTTCCCCCCTTTCTCTTGCTTCTCCCCCCTTTCTCTTGCTTCTCCCCCCCCTTTCTCTTGCTTCTCCCCCCCTTTCTCTTGCTTCTCCCCCCTTTCTCTTGCTTTTCTCTTGCTCCCCCCTTTCTCTTGCTTCTCTCCCCCTTTTCTTGCTTCTCCCCCCCCTTTCTCTTGCTTCTCCCCCCTTTCTCTTGCTTCTCCCCCCTTCTCTTACTTATCCCCCCCTTTCTCTTACTTCTCCCCTTACTTCCACCCCCCTTTCTTTTCCCCTCCCCCTTTCTCTTACTTCTCCCCCCCCTTTCCACCCCCCTTTGCTTTTCCCCTTTCCTTCCACTTTCTCTCTTACTTCTCCCCTTACTTCCACCCTTTTCTTTTCCTTTCCCCTTCCACTTTCTCTTACTTCTCCCCTTACTTCCACCCTTTTCTTTTCCTTTCCCCTTCCACTTTCTCTTACTTCCCACCTTTCTCTGGCTTCTTCCCCTCCTTCTAATATGAATATGATTATATGTTTATTCTCCTGCACATTTTAATTCTGTGACCAACAATCTGTCGCTTATTTAGATGCTTGTTAAAATTTCGTATATGCCATTGTTGCGGCTCTAAGCAGGTTGACTGTTAACGCCGCAAACGGAAAAATAATATAAGGTAATACGATCGAAGCAAGGACAACAAAGACGAGGATGTAAAAGTTTAAGCCAAATTTTATTAAATAATCTGGCACAAGTATATACAAATAATCGTTTGTGGTAGTTCCGTCGTGGAGTTTTGAAAGAGCGTTGTCAGGTTTCAAAGGCGACAGCTTGGAGGTAGGCCAATGGAACAGCGGTGTTCGAGGTCCAGTCGATCCCTGGATGTCTGTACTTGAGTAAAGGGCGGCGTCGGGCGCTTGAGGAGAGAGGATCGGCACGGACAGTGCTGTGGTGTAGTCAGTTAGTCCCCAGGTAGACTGTCGCAGGATCGCAGCTTGGTAGTCCTAATAAAAGGACGCGGCTAGGTTAGTCCTGAAAAGGACTATTGCATATTATGTAACCAGGCGTAGTCTGGAAAAACGACTAGTGCATATCATGTAACCGAGGGTAGACTAGTGCATATCATGTAGCCGAGGATAGACTAGTGCATATCATGTAACCGAGTGTAGGCTGCTGCTGATGTCTGTGTCGCTGCTACTGCTGATGAAGCTGGACTGCTCTGCTAGCTCTAGCTGCTGCTGGCCTTGGCTGCTGCTGATGATGAAGCTGGACTGCTCTGCTGGCTCTAGCTGCTGCTGCTGATGTCTGCTGGCCTTGGCTGCTGCTGATGAAGCTGGACTGCTCTGCTGGCTCTAGCTGCTGCTGCTACTGGCCTTGGCTGCTTCGTGTGGTCAGCGAAGGTGAGAGGGGGAGCTCGTCGCTCAACCCCGAAGCCAAAAATCAGTCGAGAAGGATGATTTGGTGGAAAAAATCTGCTGTGTATATATATATAGGCTGAGGTCGGCAACGTAGCCTGTCAGCGATATATTTGGGGTGATGACTGAAAATTACCTTCTACTTTTTGGCTGTACACATGGGTTCCATTCGGACGCCATGTGTATATAAAGTAGTTTCTGGTAATTGTTTTTGGTTAGGAAAGTTAGTATATGTAAATGTTTCGTTTTTTCTTAGTTTGTGTGAGATGTTGACTGAAAAACGCTTAGTCACCGGAAGTTAACGGCATTCGTTATGTTTTCCTGGTGGCGCTTTTTAGATGTTTGAGTAGCCGGCAGTAACTTCCGGCCGGGTGCGATACCATCCAGGACTTTAATAGTTTAATGCCAAACACAAATTTATCTAATAGGAAACATTATGTCCTTAAAACACAGGATTGCAGCAGCTGGGGGAGGGGTCTTGGCTCCCCACAAATTTTTACCAATATTTTTTTTTTTTTTTTTTTACAGAGTTTTAATTTAACAAAATACAATAAAGAAAAAATTCTATCAAAGCAAGGTAGAATATGACTTTCATAAAAGCCCGATGAAAGAATTTTTCTTTAAAGTTGTACGATGATGGTAATTTCCCTTTATCATGTGGGGGCATTTTAATTTTAATTTGGAATTGTGGGAGTCCAAAAAAAATAAAAAGAACTCTTAAAATTCTTCTCTTTTTCTATCTTTCACTTTCTATATATTTCTCTCTCAAATAAAAAGAGGGAGAAGACAAAAAGACTAATCTTAGCTGAAAAACATTGGATATTGGTGGTCCAGTGGCTAAATAATTTGTAACAAAAAGCTATGAAAAACGAAATAGGGTCCACATGTAACTTCTACTATATAAAATAAGAAAGGAACTCGAAAAAGAATTTTAGTCAATCAAGTAACTTAACAAAAAAAGATTTGTATGTCATTGGAACCTCATCAAAAGGGATATAAACTAATGTCTGCAGGCAGACAGCGAAAGGGACTTGAAACAGGAAAGACTTAAGACAGAACATACTAAGGATTAAGAACTACTCTGAAGGAACGCTGCCATAAAAACCAGCCAAGTGTGTTGTGTTGTCATTGACTTTGCACATTTTCTGGCCTTGTTTTGTCAGATAACAGTTCTACAGGGACCAGACAATCTCATTTCTGAAAATTGATCACATTTGACGGCTACTAACAGCCTGACTCCTGAACTAATTTTCTTTACCCCAAAATACAAAGGACTCGTCCACTATATGTCAAATAAATATGCTTTATTTGTTTATACACTTGACTTCAGTCCATTCGTTTCTATTTCCAAAGTTTTCCGATAACCAATTCAACAATATCTTATAGAATTCGACTTCTGTTACCAGTTGAAACAGCTGAAAGTAGCAAAATGACTAATCAAGAGAAATTAAAAAAGAAGCAATCAAAAATACAATGGGGCCCTGCTAGGACCAATAATAATGATACACAAGACTCAAGTAAATCATTTATTTTTTTTATTTTCCTGATGTTTTTATTGAAAAAGTCCCACACCTTGATAAAAAAAACAAACTTTTATCATCAGGTATTTTGATTTGTGGAAATAGTTTTAATTTCAATACATTAAATTTAATAAGATAAAAATTTGCAAAAAAGATTTTTCATTTATAAAATTTGTTTTAAACTTTAGGTATTGCAAATTTTTGGAGGTACCTAAAACAAATATTAAATGCTTATATTTTTGTTTCTACTCAAAGTAAGAAAAACAATTTTTATATTAGAATTTTTGTCAGTCCATATTCTTGTGAATAAAATAAAGTTTCTTACAGTAAAATAAAAATTTTTACATGTATTGTAGGTTTTTCTACTCTGCTGTGTTGAATTTAGTGCTAAAAATTGGTGATTACTACAAAACAACTTGTTTTTTAAAATTTTAATGTAAGCAACCCTTTTTATGATGCCACGAATCTATTACTTTCAACAACAAATTCCAATTGATATCCAATTTATTACATACAGGATCAGAAATCTCTGTAAAGTCATCAGAAGTAAATGGCATGAAAATTGTCCTAGATATTGTCTTCTTTTTGTTTACATTGATTTTCTTTTCTGTTTCTCTGTCAGCCTTTTGAAGATTATTGGCCAATTGATCAGCAAAATTTCCAGAATCCGAATCTTATTGTTGTAAGTATTTCCTGTTTTATTTCCATATTATTATGCTTCTTGTGTTTTTTGCCTGTTGCTGAGGATCTTCTCATGATCTGCTGATAGAAAAGGGTCTCTGAACATATCTGATCTAGATTAGAAGCAGTGAATCTTAGTTGAATAGAAGTTAGTTTTAGAAATAAAAACTACATTCATCCAAATACCATTGTTGTACTTAAATGAGAAAAAGTGAATATTCTTTTTATAATGACTTTTTCTTAGTTTTTTTTTTTTTTTTTTTTTTTTTTTTTAGCCAACAATCAACACAAGCCAAAAAACAAAAGATGATTTGTTAATTCTAACGCCTCCAAAACTAAACTTCACTCCATTAATCATCTGAGAGATCCCTCTCTGCCTTCCATGCCTCCAGGAAAGTGACTTGTTGTGCCTTCTTGGGCGGCTAACGTTTTCAGCTGACATGAAGTGGAAAAAATATATTGAACCCATTGTTAGATTAGCTGCTAAGAAAGTTGGTTCACTTAGATCCAGGAGGGAAAAATTGTCTCACATGACTATGTTACATATCTATACATCTACCATTTGTTCATACCTTGAATATTGCTGCCATATATGGTTTGGTGTGACTGCTATATATCTAGAGATCTTTTGATAAGATCCAAAGATGAATCAGCAATATTATTGGTCCTGGTCTGGCAGCTCAGTCACTTTCCCACCACTGCAAGGTTGCCTGTGCCTTTTTCTATAAATACTTTCATGGTAATTGTTTGGATGAACTCTTAGCTATGGTACTTAGACTTTATGAATTTAAGTGCAGTACTTAGACTGGTGTCAAGATCTCATCAATTTACAGTTGAGCTGGCTAGATGTGACTGTAAGTTCTATGCTAACAGTTTCTTTTCTCATACTTCTCATTTGTGGAACTCCCTTCTGGAGCCACACTTCCCAGCCAACTTTAATCTGTAAAAATGTAAAGGCAATGTCATCACTATCTACTGTCCTCCTTGTGTCTTAGTGGCTTTACTGCCTTGCATGAGGTGATACTGATTTTTAAAAAAAACCCAACATCATGGCTTAAAAATAAGCAGCATATAAGAATAAGAATCTGCAAACCTCAGGACACTTACTGCACTTCCCTTACTTGTCTTGTATTTTAGGGTTTAGAGGTGGCAGTACCCATCCCCTTATTTTGTTTAATTGATGTTGACCCTTAAGAAGTGAGGGGGAGGGGAAAGACCAATAAACAAAGGCGCCTAGCTGGAGAAAACTAAAGGATTAGGCAGTCATGTTTGCTAGCTTCAAGTGGTAGAGAAAGAAGAAAAGAAATAGAAAAGGTAAGAGGGAGAAAAAAAAAGAAAGAGAAGAGAATTAAGGAGGGTTAGGGTTTGTTGTTTAAATATTGGAATTTTACTTTAAGCATCTAACCCTTACTGATTTTACTCTCTAGTCTATAGTAGATGCAATGATGGACTCTGTTGCAGACAAATGTGTTCAAATCCTGAAATATTTTGTTGCTAAAAACTCTTTAAATATTTCTTTCATTGTAGGGACAAATTCGTGTGAATCCTAAAGATTATCAGGAATGCTATGTTCCACATCCAGTAAGTAAAATTTTATTTAACGTATTTTGGACAGCAATGAAATGAAGTTAATTTGTGTTTTTTTTTTTTTTTTTTTGGTGATTCCTTTTACTTTCATTTTCCCAAACTAGATGACAATTGTGGATTTCTCTGAAACTGCTCACATAATTTTGCCTTCTATGTTTGTATAATCAGTTTCTGTGAGTGATGATTATATATGATACGATTATATTTAGTTGAGTTTTCTCATTTTGTCTGATTATTTCAATCATGCTTATTTTGGTTATATTTTCTGTGTATTAATTTAAATAAATCCTCATCTAGATTTTTCCACATACACATTGCCTCAAGAATCTCACATTTTCTTCAATGTTCTTGTTGTTTTTATCTCTGCTGCTCTCTGAAGTATACACTCTAAATCATAATTATCTTTTTTAAAAAAAAAAAAGCATTCTTACAGTTTAGAAATATTTTCTGACTTTAAATAATCTACAAAGGTTGATAAGCTGTAGAAAATAAATGATTGAATCTGAATTAACACACACAAGTATCTTTCTGCTTTTTTATGTCAAGTGACTATAAGTTTTTAATTTAAAATCAAAAAATTTAAAATTCCATTACTCTCTTTGAAATTCTGGCCAAATTAAATAATGCAGCTTGATTGGTTTCAATACTTCCATTGATGGATTCTGCAATTCTGTATTTATTTATTATTTTTTTTTTTTTTTTTTTAAGAGAATTTCTTGTGGGATTGTTTCTTGTTTCAAGTTCTTAAAATAGCTGTTACAGATTTTTTTTTTTTTTTTTTTTTTTTTTTGTTGTTCATTTGTTTTCCTTTAATTTGTTGCAGGATGGTCATTCAGACATCTTCATTTGTGGCATGAAAAATAGAAATCGTTCTCTTAATGGGGATATTGTTGTTGTTCTTCTGGATAACCAAAGCAAATGGAGGGTGAGTCCATTCAGTTTTAAATGGATAAGAGACTTTTATTCACTTACTCCTCTCTCTCTCTTTTCTCTCTCATATATAACAAACAGTTGAAATGTTTTAAATTCACAGAAACACATATATACTCGCAGACAACTTAACCCCCTGAAGATAATCTCAGATGAGATTGAAAGTACTTAACTATTTGAAAGAAAATTTTGGTATTTTTCTTACTCAATTTTCTAAATCTACTAAAAATTAATCCCTGAGCTTTCACCATGAAAACTAATCGACATGATATGTCTAAATTATTCAAGCAAACCTGTTTGAATGAAAATATGCTGCCTACATATACACACACACTCTCTCTCCTTCTCTCTCTCTCTCTCTCGAGATGCGCAGTTTAACTGAAAAAACACCTGTTTTTGGTTTCATTTACATACCATGAAACCACATCAAAATTTTTACAAAACTGAAATTGTTTGTTTTTTTTTTTTTTTTTTTTAAGTGCTATCAATACTCAGTGATCATATGCAAAGAAACACTATTGAAAAAACTTTCAGATGTTAATAAAATTAAATTTTATCAATATTTATACCATTGGAAGAGAAAAAGATTGAACAAAAATAGGGTCAAAACATTTAATTGACAAGTTTTAGGAAATAAATGTGAAATCTGTTTATGAAAGAAATGAAAAAGAAAAAAGAAATACGACAGATATGACACTTGGAAATCACATTTTCAAACAAGAAAAAAAGAAAAATATGACATGTCTGAAATCTAATTGTTTCAGTTTTCAAAAAACATTTTTTGTGGTAAAATTAAGTTAACAAAAAAATAGCAAATAAAAATAAAAAAAATAGTTGCCAGTTTTGTCTTAATGTTAAAATTTTATGAAGTCGGATTTTTTGTAAGGGTTTTAAAATTGTTTTCTACAAATAAAATTATGTTTTTATCTTGCCCCTAAAATTAGATATTAAAAAATAAAGTAATTTTTAATCTTGGTTTTAAAGTGTGTATATTTTAAAAAATGCAAGACTTTTCTTTTTTAAAAAACTTAAAGTAAAAATTATTCTTTCTTAGCCACCAGTGTTTGGTGGGTTTTGCATTTTTGGCTGTTCGAAGCAAAATACCACTTTAACTCACCGTAAAAAATAATTCAATGAATAAAAGCATATACAAATTACATATTTAGAAAGATTGTTTTATTTTCTTTCCATATGAATATTTTCAAGTTTGGAACAGAAATACACAAGAATTTGTGAGTTGAACGGACTAAGTTGCAAATTTATCAATCTCAAATGAAATCAGATATCGACTGGAAATGCTGTCCTTACACAATAAAATGAATGGCTTCCTTAGAAAGCAAAAATACTAAATTAAAACCCAAAAAACTGAATCAAAAACTGTGGTATCAAGGGAAAAAAAACTGGAAATCTATATCGAAACATAAATTACGAAACTGACCAACTCTATATATATATATATATATATATATATATATATATATATATATATATATATACACACACACACACACACACACACACACTAGACTGCCCGTAACCTATTGGTTGCTGACAGTTCAGGTTATAATATATTGAAGTTGATTTGAACTTTCCATTGAAATAAAAGTTAATTTTCTTATGATTCAGTTAAATATTTCAATTTGTTTGTGCCATCATTGGGCTGGTTTATAAGTTCATGTTTAAGGTTTTATTGATTGTTTACAGCATTTAATAGAAACAGAACTTCTGGAATAAACTTGAACTTTAAATCAGATTAACTTAAAAATATATTTTAATAGACCAAAAAATATTTTTGAATCATATTCACTTGAAAATATTTTTTAAATATATCAAAAAAATATTTTTTAAATATTTAAAATATTGTATATTTAAAGAAAGCTGAAATTACTTAAAAGTAATTACTTTACAAACAATTGGACGAAAGAACATAATTACATCTCTTTGTGTCTGTCTTTAACTCAAAAATTGTCTGAAGAAAGTTAAAATAAAAATACTTATTGTATAAACAACTTGTAAATCATTATGTACTGGATGGATGCGCCATGCAAGCAATCACAGACTTTTAGTGTGTGTGTATATATACATATATATATATAACTATGAACCAAAAGAGCCAGGCAAACCTACCTAGGTTTCACCTATGCAGATAGTCAGGGTATGCTGGCCTAGGTAGGTTTGCCTGGCTCTTTTGGTTCATAGTTAGATTTGCTCTACTTAGCATATTGAGCACTTTGCTTAGTTATTTTTTTTACTCATGTCGGAGGTTTTTTCCTTGGCTATTGGTTTGTCTATTTATAAGCCAAAACACCTAAGGTTTTTCAGACGTGTATAATTACTTATATTTATAAGATATATATATATATATATATATATATATATATATATATATATATATATATATATAGAGAGAGTGAGAGTGCGAGAGGCGTAAACTCTAGTAGGTATTTTCAGCAAGATAAGGTTTAAGTTGACACTTTAGCTTCCAATATCAATTCCTCAAAGTTAACTCGTACTACCTCCCACTTCCTCTGACCTTACAGACGTGAACTTCATTCCACACCGGGGCTGAAAAGACAGACGACCACTTTCATCGTCTGCTGAAATAGCCTATTCCCCATATGAGGCAAAAGAGTTTGATTGATTATTAATTATATTGCTCTCTATAAATGAAACACATCAAGCACTTTTTTGTGGATCATTTCTAATATTTTTATATTACTAGGATCCACTTTCATTATATACCAACAGATTTTTTACCTTTATATTTATTTATTTATTTATTTATTTATATATATATATATATATATATATAATTTAATACAAGTAAAAGGTTTGTTACATAGTTGATTCCATAGTTTTGTAGAAGGGAAACTCTGAGAATCACTCCATCCACTCGTCACGTGCTATCAAAAATTGACTGCTTATATTTCTCTATATAATTTTTTCTTTTTTATATGCACTTTTCATTGGTGCAAGTTTTTTTTATTTTTCATTTTATACTGTGTATCCCCCCCCCCGTGTTTGTTTTGAGTCTGGATGCAGTAACATTTTTATTTTTTTATTTTTCTTAACCAAATAGCCTTCTGGTTTTCTATTTTATTCATCTTGTCCAGTCATGACTCTGTTCATAGGGTTTTTTTTTTTTTCCATCTTTATTTCAGGTGAATAAAGAAGAATTTGATTCTGATTTTAATCCCAATTGTGATAATTGTGACAAAACTGAGCATGTTTCTGCCAATGGCACACAGCTGGCCAACAATACTCAGACAACTGCTTCCACTTCCAATACTGACTATTTGGATCAATTCCAGAGACTTAATCTAATGACCAAGACCCAAACTTCTATTACCAATGAAACGAATAATGCTGCAGCCTTAAATTCGTTTGATCCAAATGTCAAAAAGTAAGTTCATTTCTACATCCATTTCATTTTATTCATGTTTAACCTTTTCGTAGAATTTCTTTGTTCATGGAATGACACAAATTTTGCCTGTTTTCTCCAATTATGATATTCACTGGAGGCAGTATTTTGCCTTCCCTTCAGCACAAATTTCTTTAATGTGTGGTACTTATGCCCTAGGAATATAATTTTTTACTAAAGCTATTTTGGTCAAGCTCAAGCCTTTGAGTGTTGGGTACCCAGTAAGATCAATTGGTCTATAGAATAATTTTGCTGAGAAGAGTAAAAAAAAAAAAAAAAAAAAATATAGTGAGGAGGTTGGGAAACTAGGGGGGGAAAAGTAATAAAATAAACTGAGGAGGTGGAATGGTGTGATGTATGGAAGTTAGGATAAAAAAAAATGTTGGGTTAAATTGTTCAAAAGATCAAAGAAAGTCCGTGTTGTCAAATACTGTATTTGTGTGTGTGTGTATATGACACTAAATGTTTAAAAGAAAGGAAAGACATTTTGAGTTTAGTTAGATTTTGTACCAGCAGGCAAGAGAAAAACAATATTCACCAATTACAAAAACTGTTGCATGAGAATAATATTCAATCATAATGGCTTTAAATGAACATTTGAACAGAACTAGAGAATAACACCATTGAAACTTGTCACATTTCAGGAAGAAGTGCCTTTGAAACAAACTGCATGCATTTTGCATTTTGTGCCTTGGGTTTTTTTTCTGTATATTATTATTCTCTTTTCAAATATTAAATCAAAATTATGAAAAGAAAAAGAATAGGCAAACAGCACACTCACATCTACCCAATATGAATGCTTGACAACAATTGATGTTCGGTGGGCTCAAGTTGCTCAGCCAGGCTGGGGAAGTGGTGGGCAGATTCAGGCTGATCATGACATCTGTTCAAGTGGGTCAAGTAGGTAAGCTTTTTGCATGCCAAACACCACACTAAAAATATTTGGTTTTCAGATGTTTGAATATAGTATTGTCAACCTGTAGTGAGATTATTGTCTCTGAAATGCAAGTGGACACTTGATTGTTCTAATGGCAAAATGTGTTTTTTTTTTGTTTTTTTTTTCTTGTGTTCAGGCAGCCAAAGAAGAAAGAAACTCTGAGCAAGAAATACACTTGTATTGCTGACCTTCACAATGATGATAATCTACAGAAAGTGTTGGCTAACAAATCGGGAGAAGACCATCTTTCTCACAAATACATCCAACGCACGGGGAAGGTAAGCATGTGCCAGCCATTGTGGATTGCATCTTTATTCCATGACAAAGATCTTTTCTTTCTCTCAGTTATTTTAATTTTAATAAGCTTAGCAGGATAAAAAGTTGATTATTTCATTTTCTACACCTTATCAACCATTTGCAGGTTATTTAAAGCCACAAAATATTTTTAGATTGTAAGATATTTTTTTTAATAATTGTATAGTGATAAGTGTTATTAATTAACCCATAGCTGGGGGGAAGTTTGATTCATACCCTTTTCACAATGGTACTTGCACATTGGTGACTATAATGAACCCAATGGGAATTGGAACTTGACTCTCAGATTAAAAATTCCAAGCTGTTATCCATTACACCACCCACACATCCGAGTACCTTACAGCACTTGATTTTCCCAATTGAGGAGAGAAACGTAAATTGACTGTGAATGAACAAGCACTTTCTAAACCTTTTTGTCTTAGTAAATTGCTTTCCCTTTTAATTAGAGAAGCATTTTTTTTTTAAATCAAAATTATGGTCAGTAAATTTGGTATTTTAAATTTTTTTTTTATTTATATTTTTTGCTTTTGCATTTAAAAATATACAAAATACTTGAATTTTCTTTTCTTTTCTTGATAGCTGAAAAGCATTTTCTGTGGCTTTAAGGGAAGAATAATTTTTTTTAAAAATCTGGGCATTTTAACTTAGTTTAATATTTTCAATTGAATTATTCAGTCAGACTAAAAACGAAATCTTTTCTATAATTCTGTTTCTGTGTATTTTTATTATTATTTTTTACCTTATTTTATTTATTTATTTTATTTTTTTTTTTGTTTTAATATTGTTACTCTATTTTGACTCGATACTTTTCAGGTTGTGGCTATTTCTGAAAAGAAACACTCCAGATTGTGTGTCGGTCACTTACAGTTGATGAATAACAATAAAGTGAAATTTAATCCAACCGATTCTCGATTGCCCAGGATAATGATCCCCATTTCTGAATGTCCAAAAGGTTAGGAAAAAAAAAAATTTTCAACCTTTTTGTTTTGTCTGCTTGATCATGTAAATATTTCATGAATTAATTTTAAAATAGTTAACCATTGTTTTACTGTACATTAGTATTCTCAGCCTTGTTTTTTTTTTTTATTTTTAACTACTACACTTTGGTTAGTCATTTCTTAATCCTTCTTCACAATTGTATAATTTAGAATGTAGAGTTTTTTTTGTTTTCTTCTTCTGCATAAACATTGCTATGGTTAAAGAACAAAAATCCAACAATATGCACCAAGTTTATCAACAGATATACTTTTTTTTTTTTTTTTTCCTGTACATGCAAAAACACTCAACATTGGATAAATAACTATTTAGAAAAGGGGAGGGAAAACATTACCGAATGAGTAATATGTCTTAGGAAGGCCAAAGAAGGCATCAGCCAAAATGTATTAATTGATCAAAACAAGAGTGAAGAAGATATTACTTTTGTGCAAATGTTGCCAGCAGTTTTTGATAAAATTTTAAGATTTCCTATCATTATTTCGTCAACATTTTCCATGTATTTCTATGACCTTGTATCACTTTTGAAAGAAATTATAAAAAGATTTTCTTCCAGTTTTGATTGAATGACTTCTTCAATATCTTGAACTTGTTCGAATAAGTGAAGAGACAGGCAATGTTGCATGGAATTGTAGTCAGTAGAATAAGTGTATGCAGAAGAACTTCCCATATAGTTCCCTGATTATTTTCTGTATCAAAATTACAACTCTGGGGCAGTTATTGTCTTGCAGTAAAATCATTGGTTGACATGTTTGATCAGAAAGAAAAAAAAAAAAATGAAGCACTCTTTCCAAGTCTAATGCCTCATTCAAATATGCTAGTTCATTGTAGCATTGTGTGGTAATGATTCATCTAGGTCTTGATAATGTGTTATAAAGAATTCTCTTCAAATTCAATCCAACAATCTCCTTCCATTCTCTCTCACTCATGCACACACAGTTGTAATCCTGAAGACTACTTTGACTCTAGTTATAGTTTTCGTAATGTTTCATCACCTTTGTCTTGTCTAAAACCCTGGGTGTTTTTTTTTCTCTTGCATTAAGTAAGAAGTACTTAAATGCTGATTGATGTTCTTTGCCATAATTTCATATGAAATCAATTTTCTTCACTTGAGATTTTTTTTCTCCTAAAGTTTTGTATAAATGACATTCTCCAGTTAATTGATTCACTAATTCCTAATTCTTCTGCAAGTTCCATCATTATTTGTCTTGCTTTCTTGAAAAGTTTTTTTTTTTTCAATTCATCAATTTTCAAAGACTAATATTTTCCAAAATGTTCTTTGTCATTTTTCTCAGAATCTCTTTTTTTTTTTTTTTTTTTTTTAAAACTTTGTAAATCATGTTCTATGTATGCTTTGCACATTCAAAATTTTGTTAGACTGAGATTTGAAGTATAGCTCAATCTCATAATATTTTATATTTTTGATGTTAGTCTTTATTGAAAACTAGCAGTAGAGCCCGGCGTTGCCCAGGGATGTAACAGTAAGCGATAGATCAAGTATGGACGATCATAAAGACTGAAAAATAAAATTGACAAAGATTATTGTTTAAGGTTGACGGACATGCATGTCTTAATTAGGTTTTTTTTTTTTTTTTTTTTTTACGAATTGGTCAAACCCAAATTCAAACGAAAACATTGTTTACAATCGTTATGATTTATGGAAATAATACAGTAATTCCATCTACGTTTTCGCTGAAGTTTTCCTCCTTCCTTCCACACTTGTGCGTAAAAAAGCGCCTCCACTGATTACACCCTTCCTTTCTCGTTAAGCTAAATATAGTAGTAAACCTTTTCTTTAGTTATTTGAAACTAATTACAAGTTATTGTCGTTTTATCAGCTCCTGCTGATGTCACCAATCTAACAAATTTAAATTACCGTTTTTTCCTGTTTTTCTCTGACGTCACGGACAAACTAATCATTTGAGTTCAGTCGGACTAAAAATTTTGATCCATGAAGTTGACTCATTTATTCCTCGTCAGTCAACCTTAAATACAGACAGGGATATCTTACTGACAACAAATAATTCACTTTCGTCCCTTTTGGCTCAAATGCAAAAATAATTTTCTTCAAGACGATGCAACCAACAACAAATAAGTCTTCGTCCCTTTTGGCTCGTCAGAAATAATTTTTTTAGCAGCAAATTCAATGCCTGATCCCAAAATCTGAGATGACTGAACTTTCTCATGACCATGAACCTGAACAAAAAAGGGTATAAAAACAAAAACAACACAAAAAACACTACACACACTTACAATACCCAAATCCACAGTAAAGTACTTTTTTATCTGTGCACATCTACACCTCGTGTTAACGAGTTCCTTTTTCCAGAACTTAAAAAAAAAAAAAAAACTTTTCCCGCTTTGTTCACCTTGCATGGCTATCTCGCATCTAATCTCCTGTTTTTTCCATTTAAAAAAAATTACACTTGTTTTGAAAAAAAAAAACTTTTCCCGCCTTTGTTCACCTTTTTTTGTTGAAATCGGTTGAAAAATGTAGATAGCCTTTCTCTGTAATCTTTTACAATTTATGATTTTTACTTATTGAATACAGTAAAAAAAAATTGCATATTTTGCTTGTGGTGATTCATAATTAGAATTCTGATTTGAATATATTTTCCACTCGTTGTTTCTAATACAAAAAAATTTAACTTTATTTGGGTTTGTTAATTTATTACAAGTACTGTGTTCTTTCCTTAATAATTATCATCTTCGAAATATTGTTGTTTTTTGTCTATCAGATTTCTTACATCGGCATTTTTAAATTATTTCTTAATACTTTCTTTTAAATATTGAATTAATTTCAAATAGAACCAATGCCTTATTGATCTGCCTTGTAACAAATTGCAAAAGGGAATTGAAAAAAACGGCACTAAAGTACGGAATTATCTTTCCTTATTTTATCAAATTGAAAAAAATGATTGATTATCTGTCCTTTTTTTTTTTTTTTTTTGACCAAAAAAAAAACAATATTTTTAACGAAAATTTCAGACGTGCTAAGAACGATTAAAAATGTAAAAAAATACCCCAAAAATACTTTTGATCTTTCCTCTTTAATAATAATGTGAACATTAAGCGAAAAATTTTGTTTTAAGTCAAGTTCGGGCTTTTTTTTTCATGCTATGCTCTTTTGTTTACATTTTCGTGGTGAGTTGTCCCCTTTCATTCTCACGCTGTCTTAATCGTGTTTTCAAATTGATTTTGTTTAAAAAAACAATGTATTTTTCCCATTTTCGGCGCCGTAAGAACCACCACAAGGTAATTTTATGTAGTCCTGTGAAGTTTTGTTGAAATCGGCTAAAAAATGTAGGAAATTCGATCCAATATATAAACTTTACAGACACACACACACACACAATCTGCGTTTTATAATAAGTAAGATTATCAGAATTACCATGAAAGTCATATTCTTTATCAGTGTTTATTATTTTATCACTGGAAAAAATACTAAAATTATATTTTACTTTACTGAAATAGTTTTTGTCACTGAATTTACAAAATAGGTTTGAAAGAAATTAAGTTTATGAGTTGAAGCATTTTTCTCTTTAAAGTCCTTTCAACAGATTTTTTTCTCTTGCCTTCTATTACTAAAAGTGTCAAGATTGCTTGTATGTTGCTCCATGATGCAGTAGGCTCTTTTGTGGTATGGAGTTGAAGTTAGAATCTTTTCTGTACCTTACTGTATTCTAAATTTATGGAGTCAATGAATTTAGTAATAAAAGGAAAGTTAAAACCATCTTCTTTATGACAATTTCTTTAATCAAACAATTACTTCCTAAAGATTTTCAGAAAAATTGGTTCATCAAAGTCCAAATAAATTTTTAAATATTTGGAGGCTACTTGAGTATACAGAGATGCTTTGTTAGGGAACAGGTGGCTGGCCATATTTCTTTAGGATATGTTTTGCCTAGAAAAGAATAACAAATTTATGTGCAAAAATATTTGAGTGTTAACAAGAATAAATGTATTAACAAAAGAATAAAAAATTCCCTTAAAAGGGATTTTTTTTTTTTTTTTTAAGTTTTAGTAATCATGGAATCAATTCTGAGTTAATTTAATTTTGAAAACTGATAACATTGCATTTGGAAATTAATCTGTTATTGTCTTTATTGTTCACTTTCAAATAAGAAATAAGTTTCAAGCCTTTATGCCATAAATTCATTTTACTAATTTTATTTTTGTTGCAATAAATTTGATATTTTTTTTTTTTTTTTTCAAATGGTGAAAATACTTTTAATTTTTTCTTGTAGAATTCCTTCACAGGCCAGAAACCTTTTCCAAAGTTCTTTTTGTTGCCAAACTGAAAGATTGGGGCACAACTGATATGTTTGCCTCAGGGTGAGTCAATTTAAATATTTTTATTTTTTGTTTTTTATTTTGTCTAAATATTGCTGCTTTATTTTTTATTTGTTTTACAGCTTGACCTTGTTATCCAACTTGTAAGACAATAATTAGCACTTGTGTCCGTTTATGCAACAGTCTGTTTGCAATGATTCACTATAAAAGGTTTATGGAGAAGATGTTGGACATGTTTAAATAGAAATAAATTGATTATCAGCTTTTCTGGTCGTTTATTAGATTTGTTGCTGATAAAATTGTTATTTACTATGTTGAATGTATAGAAGATGATTTTGCAAATCTAGACCTTTTTCATATGACAATATCTGCATGGTCATGAAGTCAAGTACCTGATTCATGGTTACAATTTATGGTACCCTGTTTAATAGTGTACCTCTAACCCCTATCCTTTTGGCAAGGGGAGATACTTAAAGGTTAATAGAAATTATTCTGAAGAGCATATTCTCTCCATATTTGTAGTATATCTTGATATTAAATTTTTTTTAATATCAAATTAAAATCTCTTTCCAAAGCATATATATATATATATATATATATATATGATTGTTAGATCATCCACAGTAAATTTGTGTCCAGGTTCTTATGTTTTACCATTCTTGGTAGATTTTCTATTATTACAATGTGGGATATTTAATAACAAAATTGATGGAAAGAAAAAGAATCTAAATGAAATCAGTTAGATTATATATTTGCACCCTGGCTCTTACAACATTTCACCATTCCTGGCAGATTTTCTATTATCACAGTGCAGGAGAATGTTTAATTTAAACAATAGTTAAAAAAAAATCTCCCCCCCCCCCACACCAAAAAAAAATTGATTAACTTGCCATTGGCAGATTTTAAAGATTTCTTTTTTATTTTTTCTATTTTAAATGATTTTTGGATTCTGCTCTTTGACAATATTATCTTGAAAACATTCTTTCAGGAGCCTGTTGAAAAAAATTGGTGAAGCAGGTCAGATTGACACAGAGACTGAAGGAATTCTTATTGAGAATGATATTGACTTCAGTGAATTTCCAGAGGAAGTGAGTGTTTTATTTTTTGTTAAACTTCTACTTGGATTTACTGGGATTGGTTGGTTGGAGGAGGATAATGTTTTTATTTTTATTTTGCACCTCCATTTTGGATTTGCAAAATTAGAATTTAGCTTTATGCTAATATTTTATTTTTATTATTGTTTATATTTTAAATTCTCATTCAGTTTGAATTGCAGCAAACCTTTGGCACCGTTTATCGATCAATTTTTAAAAAATATTTTTTGTTATATGAATTAAGAGAATATAATATATGAACCATGAGAATGTGTGTTGTTTTTTTTTTTTTTTTTTTTTTCTGTTTGGTTGTGTTTTTTTTGCTTGGGTTGTTTTTTTGGTTAAGTTTTTTTTTGTTTTGGTTGGGTTGTTTTTTTGTTGTTTTTTTGTTGTTTTTTGTTTTTTTATTTAACACATTATAAGCATTTATAAATTTCTAGAATTCATCCCTAAAGCTAAATTGCTGTTACATAAAAACATTTTTTTTTATATCTCATATGTTTGCTTGGAAGTGGAAAAGGATTGCTCTGCTTTATAAAAGTCATAAAATCTTGACATTTAATTCTGAGCTAAGCTAAAATTGTAAACCTGACTGAAATAAACTGATTTCCAGAAATTGCTTCTGCCAAATATGAAAATGTTCAGGAGATTCGTCCTTGTGAAATGCAACAAAATGTTCAAATCAGTTAGCATGTGTAATGTTCTGAAAAGAAGAAAAGCTTTTACTTGGGAAGCCTCCACAAAGAGACTTTCATTAGATTAGTCACATTTTTTGATCCACAGAATGTCAAACTCTATAGTCTTTTTGCTGGAAATTCATAGTCAATATTTTATTTTCCCCAACATTATTGGATATGATGTTGTTATATTAAACTAAGAAATATGGATCTTAAAATCTCTTATTTTAAAATGAGCAGTTTATCTATGTCGTGATTATCATGAGTAGGATTTATTAAAATGCATGCAAACTTTGATGATTTATACAAATTCTGGCTGTAGATGGGAAAGGAAAAAAAATTGCATTTAAGATATGGACTGCATTTGAACATGGGTAATATTTTGGTTTTTCTTCTCATAACACCCTGAGGTTTACTTATTCCACCCCCTCCCATGATTAGTTTTCTATTTTTTTTTTTTTTTTTTTTTTTTACTGGCAGTAGTAGGATGTATATTGGCTGGAGAGAGACTTGGATGATCAAAGACTTAAAATTATTGATGTCAAATTTGTTTTTAACAAGTTTTGCTAATTTGTATATTGTGCTGAATTGGAAATCACGAAGAAAGGAATTGTTAGTGTAAAGAAAAACAGACAAATGTTTAAGCTTGTAGTGAAGCATTATTCAATACAATTTGACTACTGCCTCTAAGGGAGGTTTAACCATTTCTTTTATAGTTGAGCAGTTCAAGTGGGAAACAACTATAGTTGACTTCCACCATAGATAGGAAAAGGCAAGGATTATTGAAAGAATAGGGATATTATCGGAGTCATTTTTGATAATCTGAAATCCAGTTTATGGCAATTTGTGGGCTGTTAACCAGTTTACTTGCTTCCAAATTTTATTTTTAGGAAATATTAGAAACCTGAAATAAGATAGTCTAAAAAGATTTTTAATAAGAGTGTGTGTTTTTTTGTTTTTCATACTAGAGCAAAGTAATGAAACTATCACGAGAAGAAGTACAAGAACTACTCGAGGTATAAAACCTATATGTTTCAGGGAGATGTAGTGATACTGGCAAATTAATATGCCTAATTTGCATAAGTGCAAGAGAAAGCCTATATAATTCGTCACTGAGAATAACGTAGGAGGAGGAGGACCAGCTTAGCAACTGACTAGTGCTAAACTTCTACTTCACATCACATACCAAATATCTGTTGGTTTTTGTTGGATTATGTGACAACAAATCTTTTTAGAACACCAGCACTCCTATCAATTGCAACACTTCTGAAGTTTCCACCATTCTTTCTCAAGACTGATTTGGTTTCCTTTTTACTTCCATCCTTTGTGAGTTGTTGCACCAATCGAACACTTCATCTGACAAAATCTCTTTTCTTTGTTTAAAAAAACAAAAATTCAATTAAGATTTAAAATAAATTTTTTCTCTAATTTAGTCTCTAAAGTCTTTGCCTTTGGAAGTCGACCAGCCATGGACAATACCAAGTAAAGAATACAGTAAAAGACGGGATTTTACCAAAACCTGTGTCTTCACCATTGATCCTGAATCTGCACGAGATCTGGATGATGCTGTATCATGTGACAAACTCGAAAATGGTATGCTTTCCTTGTGAATTTTGCCCCTTTTTATTGCTTGGGTACCTATTTAGTGTATTTCTCATGTTTCTGTTAGTTGGATACATTGGACACTTAGTTTACATTGCATGTTTGTATTGTAGTGAAGGTGACATGTTCAGCATCATCCTCTTTATTACAAAAGATAACTTTTGATGGGACATTTTGCAAGGAGTAAGATTTTTTTTTTTCTGCTTCTTCTTCCAGGACTGAAAGTGTTAATAGAATTTGCAAATCAGAAATTTATTTAACAATTTTATTTTCTGATATTTTTGTTTTTATTTCCAAATGTGTTAGTTTATACATCTGTTTCTATGCACATCTGAAATGAATTTAATGAAAAGACAGATTGTGTACTTGGTTAGAAATAGATCTTTCTCAGACTGCTTTCAAATTTACTAAGCCTAGTATGGTACAAGGCTAAGTAAGAGAAGGACGATTGTATTGCATCAATCTTTCAAGTGGTAAATTCCAGGCTGCCTTTAGAAATCTTGATGTCTTATTGGATCTTAACCACTGGTAGTGATTGGAAATACACAACTGTTTTCTTTTTTTTTTTTTTTTTAATCTTGCCTTCTGTTATGGCTTTAACCGTCTTCTCTTTATAGGATTATATGAAATTGGAGTCCATATTGCCGATGTCACATATTTCTTGACAGAGAACACCCAACTTGATGAAATTGCAGCATCAAGGGCCACGAGTGTTTATCTGGTACAAAAGGTGAGTTTTTCTTTACAATTCATTAATTCTTTTTTAATTTTGAATTTAAAAATGATTCTGAACTTGTCAAAATTTAGCCTAAAATTTCATAGACTCATTTTCTTATTTTGACTTAATATTTTCTGTTGTGTTCAGGTTGAGCTAAAACGTGTTAGCATCCCTACGCACAAGCCATCTATCTGCCACTGGGTGGCATGCCATTGGCATTTACAGCTGGTGGCCCACTGTTGGACTGTTGCCGTATTCATCTCTGCAATGTTACCACAGGTGGATCGCTAGAGGCCTGCTGGTGGTTGCCACCAGAGGATCACTGGTGTTGTTATCAGCAGCCCGCCAGTGAGCCACTAGCAGTTTGCATGTTGGGATGTTACTTAAAATATTATGCAGACTTCATTTATTTTTCAAGATATATTGAAATTGTAATGTTATTCTGCCTTGCTTTGTAGGATAATTTCGAAATTGTAAGATTTTCACATTACTAGTCCTACTTATTCGATATTAATGTCTTTTCGAACCTTGATAACGCCATTTTTCTTATTGTCTTTAACAATTTTTAGCTGATATAGTCTTCATCTTTCCTTAGGCATATTTTCTGTTTGGTAAAGTTGTTTTGTAAAGACAACCAATGGCCACACTTATCTAAAGGAAGAATTGGATATGGAGTAATAAATTTTTTTTTTTTTTTTTACTCACTTCAAGGACCAAGAGCCACCCAAAGTAGAATATTACTGAATGAAACGTGGGGGATGGATGCAAGAGGTGGAAGTAGGAAATGAAGATTATGAGGATATATGTAGAATAGGTAATGAGTGTCCTTAGACTTGAAGATATCAAGATTGTAGTGTTCAAGGGAGCACCCACGTGGGAGTTGGTTTTTGCAAAATATTGGTTTTGGAAGTGGCTGTCTGTGGGGAACTTCCTTCTTACCAGTGGGATAAGTAAGGAATGAGGGTGATTCAATCCTGTGGATGTGACAAGGTAGGTCTTAACTGTAAAGGTCTGAGCTGGTGGTACTAAAGAATGGAGCTCACTTGGAAGTAGTGATAGGCTTGTGATGTTATGTTTGTGGGAAAGGGAGAAATTATTCTTCTCCCACAAAGGCAGTGTAAACAATTTTGAAATTTATCAAGGCGGGAAAGTGAAGATTGATCAGTATCCACCCAGACATGGCACAATAATTTAAATTTTATATTTTTATATATGGAATAATACAAAGATTTAATCTTTTGGTCTTCAGACATCACATGGAAGGCTGAAGACTTCATCAAAATATTGTAATAAAAATATCTGCTAAAGACAATAGTCTGTAAAATAAATGGAATAATGAAAATGCTTCCTCAGGATTTAAACAAACAAAATATCTGTCTAAAATTATTGTTTTTTTCTTGTAAATTTTTCAGTTTCCTTTCCTTATCTTTTTTAGGTGATTCCTATGTTACCAAGAGTACTCTGTGAACAACTCTGCAGTTTAAATCCTGGTGAACCCCGTCTTACTTTTTCAGTTGTATGGCACATGAATGATAAAGCTGAGGTGGGTTTGATTTCTTCTTTAATAATAATAACAATAATATCAATGATGATAATAATAATAGCAATAAAAATATTAGCAATAATAATAATAATAATATAACAATAATAGCAATGATAATAATAATAATAATAGCAATCTGAGCTCTGGGCTTTGTGAGAAAAGGAATGGATAATTTTACTTACAGTGTCCTAGGTAACACAACATACAAGTTGCCCAGAAGATTGCCCTACTAGGAACATCACATATACTAAGAAAAGTGATATCAATTAAATGACAATTCTCCTATAGGGCCTAAGGGTCATAGTTTGGACCTGGTTCTACAGGATACAAAGCAGAAAATGTAACATACACAATAATAATGACAATAATAATTGGTTAGCGAGGTTGGTGGTTTCCTTCATTTGACATTTCTTTCTTACTTTTGGAATTGTCAACCTTTCCTCGAAAGACATACATTCTTCATAATAACGCCAATAATAATAATAATAGTAGCAATAATAACAACAACAACAATAATAATAATAGTAACCACTCATTAAATTTTGACTTGTCATTTCTTTAATCTTTAGTTCATTATTTTTGTAAATTTTATTTTATTGCAACTAGTTGGACTGTTAGTTTATGGCAGTGAGTAAACCACACAGATCAGAAATAATGACATCCAGTCAATACTCACTCATTCCAGTTTTTAACCTAAGGAAGCCTGTCCTCTGGATGGCAACTATTCTACAAATTGTGCTACAAAATCTTTAAACTGATCTTTTATTTCTCCCTTTATTAAAGCAACAAAGATAGAAACTAAATATAAGAATTAAAAATGAATAATGGTTGATGATGCTTTTTTTTTTTTATTCTATTTTCATTTGGATTAATATCCTCATTTTTACTATCACAATGTTTTGACAGCTGTGCTCTCTGGCCTTGTTCAGGTGTCTCTTGATCTAAGTAAACTTCAGGTAATTTCAACAGAACTCTATTCAATTTATGGGGGCATAAGTGGGTAAACTTCTTGTTCTGTCATCTATGATTAGGGATATCTTATTTTATATAATTAAATAATGATAATTCCTCGTGCCAGAAATTCAGACAGAAATGCTTTATCTAATAAATAACAAACTCTCAATAATAATTAGCATGTTTCAAAATCCCTCTTCTCTTCAATTACCGTTGTTTATTTAGACTGAGAAATAAATTCATTAAGACCTCCTCTCAAAGATTAGCCGACATGAAACTGACTGCTCATTAGAATAGACTTACCCAAAGTTATGATAAGGTTGGTGTTAACCAACTGATGTTTGCAAGCCTTTGCTTATATAATCCTTGTGAATTTCAGATTATTCTAATCTGTTTTTATTAGATATTAGTTAATTGGTGATGTGAGATTTTATTATGTAACTCTAGACGTGATCCTATCATAAATATATGTACATATATAATAGTGTGGGTTAAAGATCAAGTGCAGATCAAATATGGATTTGGAATCCAACAGGATAAGATAAAGAACAAATAGGAAATGTATATCAATCTAGCATGTTCTCACTTTTATTAAATTTCAATTTTGTTTGGGTCAATTCTCATTGGTCAGTCATGTATGGTGCATTAAAACTGTAGATAATTCTATATGTATGCAAGTTTGTAAAGATTCTTGTATGTCTAAGTGGGCATCGGATGGTCTTTGTAATTGTGTATGCGTGTCTGTCTAGTAGGAGGAGTTCCAATGTTTTCACCTTTGTATGGTCAGCTGGTGCAGTGTAGTGGCATTCCACTTTTATAATAGTGTTCAGTTATTGAAAGATGTCTCTTTATTGAGTGATAGGAAGACAATTTTGAAAATTGGGAAGAAATTGGATGGAGATCACAGAACATTAAAAGAATTGAAGGCATTGGGAAATTAAGAAGAAAAATTGGCTTGAAGAATTAAAAAAAATACAAAACAAGACTTACCTATTTAAGTATTTTTAAACCAGGAGAATGGATTTGACCAATAAAATATTTGAAAAAAGCTGTTTTTACGAATACAAACAAAAAAAGATACCGTATACTAAGAATGTTGGTTAAAGGCATGAAAGCAACCAGACTTAACTTATTTAAGTAAATATTGCTGCCACAGATGACCTTCTTCAGATTGGAATTTTTGTTCTTTTGGCACTTTGTTTACGTTATATTCTTATAGCTCACCAATCAAACTGTCCATTATAGTTTTGCAATGAGCCTTTTCACCATTTTGGTATGGCCATTAATCCCTACCCCACTTCTTTTTACATTTATTTCAATTCATGTTTTTGGTAATTATCTTTTTTTTTTTTTTTTTTTTTTTTTTTTTTTTCCAGATTGTTCATGAATGGTTTGGTCGGTCAGTGATTAATTCTTGTGCAAAATTGAGCTATACTCATGCACAGGTGAGTGATTTCTTTTTTTTTAAATTCATGCTTTTATTTTGTATGAATTTCCTTAAGAATAAAAATGATATTTAAGGCTTAAAACCAATAAGTTTTCTCCATGTTCTTGAACAGCAATAAAAAAAAAAAAATGTCATCTTGGCTTTCATACTAAATTACATAGTTATGTCTGGAAATGATCCTGCAGTTTAGATAAATTAAAAAAAAAAATGGTTTGAGGGGCCATTTTCTTGATACAATGGTACAAAGGACGTCACTCACTTATTTCAAAACATTTTGTGGATTGTCATTTTACAGGATTTTTAGGAGTGACTTCATTGCATTCTCTTTAATTTTCCCCAGTGTTTAATATTTCCTCACTTTCAACAGCAATTTATTTTGAGAAAAAACGCCAGAAGCCCCACAGCCAAATCTGAACTGGAGCAGTGATGAGGGGGGGACCCCAAACAAACTGTCAAAGACTATTGAGATATTCCAAAATGGCTGGATGCTTTTTGGACATTTCATAGGATCCCCAGATTTTCTAATTCCTGCCCTTCAACAATTGCTGATATCCTTTGAATTCCATCTGTACAGAGCCAATCCTTTCAGGCCTTCCAGGATGTGGGTTACTTTCAGCAGACTCCCAACTATGTCTGAAGCATCTGTGGTTAGCATCAAGCTTTTATCCAGGTTTTATTCAATGAATCATCTACAAAAGCTGCCTTAATTATTCAGTTTCTGCAGATGAATGTCAAAGTTTGAAGCAAAACTTTATGCATATTATTATGAATATAGAAAGCTCACTCAGTGGTGTCCCACTGCCAAGTGACTAATAGTATCTGTTCATGCATGTGCAGTAAGGTCCCCTTTTTATTGATTGTTTCAAGTTACATCAAAAGGCCTTGCAGCTAGTAGTCAGAACAGATGGATACTTTTCAGACACACAACATGATCTTTATTTTGATGTTGGTATACCAAAAAATCATACCTGTAAAATGAAATTTCTACTTGGTGCTTCTTATTTTTGCTTCTCTCTCTTTCTCTCCTGTTTCCCTCTCCCATGTAAACACACTCACCCACAAAGTGAAATCCATTTGAGACCTTTAGACAAAAAAGGTCATGTGGTTCTCATATTTAGTAAGTTAAATTTTCTCTCAATGTTTTTTGCAATTTCTATGTCTCGTTATAAATCCACACTGATTAGGAAAATTAAAATGTCCAATGCATAAATAATAATTGTCTAATCTTGTAAATGGGCAAACCTTTGCTATCTTAACAATAATTCATTGATTTGACCAAAATTTTTCTTCTTTTTTTTTCTTAAAATTTAGGGTTTTCTTGATGACCCTCTCCGCGAATATACAAGAGAACAACTCCCCAAAATTAGGAACTTCTCTGTAAAAGACATAAAAGAAAGGATTCTAATTTTACATAGTGTAAGTATCAAATGAGAAAATGAGTTTTGACAGTTTAAAAGATTAAAAATAAAATTCTGCTTTTCTTATTCTTTACTTTCTTCTGATAGAGAAATTGTCAATTTATTTATTTTTCAGCTTGCTAGAATTCTTCAAAAGAGGCGTTTTGACAACGGAGCTTTACGACTTGATCAAGTCAAACTTCAGTGGGTCCTACACGAACAGACTGGCCTTCCAACTGGCACGTCTGTGTATGAACAAAAAGACAGCAATCGGTTAGTCAAATATCAGCCCATGATATTCTTTCCCATTATAGAAATATTCTGTCTTTTCGAGTGTTCACATTTGAATTAAAAGATTTTGTTTGTCTATTTGACACTAACCTCTTATCACTCCTCGCTCTTCAGAGCTCATTGAGGACAAAAACATGATTACAATAACTAAGAAAGGGGATAGAGAAAAAAAAGACTCCCATGGAATCAGCAGTATAAATCATACAGATATTATTATTCATGCCATTATATTAAGTCTAAGCAGCCTTCCCTTTGTAAGTAGAAGAAAGTATTTTTGTGTGTGTGTGTGTGTGTTTTTTTTTTTTTTTTTTTTTACTGCTTGGTTTTTACTAGCTCTGTTTCCACTGAATCTGAATTTGGTATGGTTTCTCTTTCTTTATTGATGACTCTCTCTAACAAGGCCCTCATAGATTAGTGTTAGAAGCAGGCCAAACAATAAGTGAGCATTACTAAAAAGGAACAGGATATCTGTAGTCACTAGAACCAGATTTAATTTATATTTGTAAATTAAATAAAGGGTCCAGTTTGAAATTCCCTGAAGGTTAATCAGATTGACAGAGGCTGGAGGGCATAATGGCTGAAACATTGATAACTATAACAAAATTGTCATTATTGATATTCAGACTGTCAATGTGGTTAAACTTCAGGGAATGTCAAACAGAAGCCTTTATTTAATCTACAAATAAAATTAAATCTGGTTCTGGTGTCTACAGATATTTCATCCTATTCCTTTTTAGTAATGCTCAGTTATTGTTTACTCTGCTTCTAATGCTCAGTAGACCTAGCATAGAAATAAATACCATTACTAATGTCCGAATGTAAATATTGATAACTGCTCATCCCAGAAAGTAAGACAGAAAATTTTGTTTATTCTTTTTATAATGTAAAGTTGTTTCTAATTTTTTGGTGATAACTGTAAAATTGGCTGAGCCTCTGAGTTTTAAAATATTGGAATGTAATTTCTGTATTCTCTTCTCTTGGTCTCTCTAAAACCCTTTTCTAATTTTGCTTGTATTTTTTATTTTATTTTATTTTATTTTATTTTTATTTTTATTTTTTTTTTTTTTTAAACTTTTTTCTTCCACTTCGACACCTCCCCTTTCAGGTTAATTGAAGAATTCATGTTGCTAGCCAATATGGCAGTTGCACATCGCATATACAAAACATTTCCTGATGAATCTTTTTTGCGACGGCATCCAGAACCACAAACAAAGATGATAGAAAATCTGGTTCGTACAATTTTTATTTATTTTCCTTTTAACCCCTTACATTTTTTGCAGCTTCCCCTCTGAAATGTTGAAATTTATTTAGCATTTATGTTAGTGATTTTGATTTTTGCTTTCTTATTTAATACTAAATCGTTTCAATAACAAGAAGATTCTCCTTTTACTCGTTTATAAGACACTTGAGACTATTTAATCTTTTATGTTAAGTTGGTTTTTTGCTTGATAATCTTCTAATCAGGTTTGTTAGATTCACTTATGTGCAAATACCCTTCGGAATGGTACCCCACCCCCCACAGCTATGGGTTGATAGTAGGACTTGTATTAAGTAAAAATCATTGTTATTCTGAAAAAAAATTTTTATTGAAAAAAAATAAAAAAATAAATTCTTACAATCCAAAATGTTTGGCTTTAAATAACTCACAAATGGTTGATGAGCTCTAAAAAGAAAAAAAAATCCCTTGATAATCTGTTTTCTCTGATTTAAACAGATTCCCCCCCACCCTTTTTTTGAGGGGGGGGGTGATATATATTTGAACAAAAATTTTAAATTCACATGAATTTATATATTGTTTTAAAAATGGAGTACATTCTTTAAAAAGAACCTTTTTTATCTAACACTTTTTCAGAAAGATTTGTTACAACAAAAACAAAAAATTTATTACCAGCATATAATGTCGGCCCACTTTTATTACCAGCATATAATGTCGGCCCACTTTTATTACCGGCATATAATGTCGGCCCACTTTTACTGGTTTGTAGACCAACTGGAATTCATTTGTTCTTAAGTCCCGTAAAGTTAATTTGTAAGTTAGGAGAGGAATTAGTGAACATTTGCAATATTTTTTGGAATAACACTTACCTGGAGAATGTTAAACGGACAGTGGAAAGTAAGGCTCCTGTGGTTTTTGGAGATTGTCTTTGTCTAATTTATTTAAAACTACCCTGAGTCGGACGTTTGCCAACAGGCTGTTAGTGTGTGTAGCTTCTAGCTTTTCTACTTTCATGTTGTGTAGTTGTCTTTGATACTATTCTGGTATTCCCATCTTTCATGAAGGATGGTTTGCAAATGGTCTGCAAAGCAGTTCTGTTATTTATCAATTTACATGACTCTGTGGGGCGAACCAACTTGTGGTTGGAGACATGGATTGGACAGCATGTGCCTACTAAGACAGGGTGGAGTCAGTGACAGTATCTTCTTGACTCGGTTAGTTTGTGAGTCAGCGATTGAATTATATTTGGATAACAACTCGGGTTGTACTTTGAAATATTCTTACAAAGTGTTTGTTGTGTAAATATTTTTTTTTTTTTTTTTGAGGCTGTTCATATCAAACATCATCAACTGACTTTGTGTGGGCAGAAGAAGAACTTTCTTCGTTCTCTCTGTCTCATGGGTAGGCTGTGAGTAAATTTTTTTCTCTTTTGTAACCACTAGGTGCCGGGATTTACATTTGATATATTTTAGTAATAAATTTATTTTAATCATGGATCCTTATTTACTACATGCACTTTTACAGTTTTGTCGCTTATGATTTTATTTTATTTTTTTCTTTTTTGTATGTTTGGGTTTTGTTCCAACAAATCTTTCTGAGGAGGTGTTGGACACATAAAAGGTTCCTTTTTAAAGAATGCTCTCCAATTTTATATATATATATATATAGGTGTTGTACATTGAGTGCTGGTGTTAATGAAAGAGCGTTCAATGTAATATAACAGAGCTATTAAGTATATATTGATAAATATACATATTATCCCTCACCGATAGCACAACTTGGGCTGTCATGCACAATGCAGATCTTCAGTTTTCTGGGTAGAGAGTGAGGAATAAAATATATATAGTCTTATTCCTTTTGGCCTTTTGTCACATCTAAATTTTGCTTAGTAAATAACTATATAGTCTTATTCCAGGTTAAATTGTTTAATTCTTTGATATCTGCCATTTAGAATAATTTTTTTTTTTTTTTCTTACTAAAAACTTTCTGCCAAACTCTTATGTTCCTATTTTTAAAAATGATAACACGTCTCATTTATTACTTTTTTCAGTTCTTGCTATTATTTGTCTGACTGTTAAATTGCTGCCCAACTTGATTGTCCAACTCTGACATGATATTCTCTGTGTTTCTTTCTTTCTTCTTCTTTCCAGGAAGAATCACTGAAAACAGTCTGCACGTTATTTTTTCTTTTGCCTCTTTTGATCTCTTCTCTTGTAGACTTTCATCTGCTTTCTATTTTCTACTTCAGAATGATCTCTGCCAAAATTTGGGCATCCCAATTGATATTTCCTCTGCAGGAACCATTAATGTAAGAATCAGTCTTTGCTTTAGTAAATCATTTCAATTTCATGTATTTTTTTATTTAATTTTTAAATTACATTTTGTATTTATTAAATGCTAAAAAAAAAGGTGTTTAAGCATCTCCTCATTGATTGGTTGATGTAAGACTTCCCAATTTCAGTCTCCTAAGGAAAAAAAAAAAAAAATTCAAATGACCCCACAATTAGACTTTTTTTTTTATCTTTTGTAGTTTTATTTTTAATGTTTGTTGTATGTCATTTTAATGTTTTCTTCAACAATGAATATGTTAGTCATCCCACAAATGTTGAACTGATCAGAAAAAAAAATCATCACTAGGTTTGAATTAAATATTTTTTTTTCTTTATCTACTTCAAGAAGTATTCACACTAATAATCTTCATCTTTGTTTTGATTACTGTTTCAGAAAATGTGGGTGGGGATGTACAAAACATGTCAGAAGGAATGTACTAAAATGGTAATCAGTGGAATAATAAATTCTTTATCTAGTATATTTTGACAACATTTAAACTATTATTTATTTAATTTTTATTACCCATATTCAGAACTTATTTAAATGTATTTTTATCACTTTCTTGTCTAAGTGTTGATATCACTTGCCCATAAAGGTAATGGGGCTACAGTTTGGACCAAACAGAGAAGATCAGAAACCTGTATTCATTGAATGTCTGTGTTGGGATATTTGGTTGTGTGCTTTTTTAATTTCCCCAGTGGCTGTGTTCTGCCAACAACTGTTGAAAAGTCAATGTACAGTTTTATAATCAGTCAGTTAAACGTAAAAATTTAGTTTTCTTCATTCATTTGAAAATTTAAACATATTTTGTAATATTCAAATGTTTTTGTTAGAAATCACTTTGTATGGGTTTGTCAAATATTTCTTTTTTTTTTTTTTATACCAATGTTATTTGAATTAATACCTAAAATACTTCAATATTTTTACCATAATGTTGTATGTTTTTTTTTTTTAGCTCTATTTGATCTCTACAACTTTTTGTTTGTTTTATATTGTAGACTAATTTGTTAAATTTGTTGATCGCTAATAGGGTTTAAATAAATGAAAAGAAACAAATGAATTTATCTGACAATCCGAAGACGTCTAACGTGAAAACTAATTTCATCACAGAACAAATTCTTTTCTTGTTTAGTACGTTTTTTTTTTTTTTGTAAATTTTTCTTTTTGTATTTTCAGAAATCCCTTAAAAAGTATTTGAATGTTAATAATGATGACGAATATGTTACTGCTCGGATGCAAGTGTTGGTTGCTATGTGTTCTAAACCAATGAAGGTAAACCTCACCCCCATCCCTCTCTTACACACGCATACACACACACACACACACACGCACACACAATGAAAACAAATCTCTCACTCATCAACTTCCACCATTTCAATAGAGAGAGTAACAAAAGTCAACATCTGCTGCCATTGACTCTTGTCTTGTTCAGAATTAATAAAACCATTTTCTCCACAGCCAATAATTTGTACTTGAGTGGTTGGTAGAAATATTTTTTTTTGTTTACACTGACTTACGAAAAGTTATGGCAAAGTCAGATGTAAAAGGTAATGGTAGGTGTTGTGACCATACCTTGACATCACAGAAATGCCCATGTCTATATCTTTTTGTGCTTTGTTGTCTGATAGGTCAGGCCGAACACTAGTTAAGCTTTTCTTGGCAAAATGATGTGAAAGGCAAGATATATAGGATTACTCCATTTCTGAAATTGTGGAAACCTTTGACATCTCTTGATCTGTGGTGTTGCCAAATTGCCTAAAACTCTCATTGACTTGTGACCTCCATTTTTCTATTAGCTTTTATGACCTTTTGCATCTTTCATGGATTCCATAGGACACCAATAAGGATGGGTTATTCTAGCAGGCCAATGCCCTGTGTCATTGGACCAAAATTGCCAAGAATTAATTTTGAGGAATATTCTGGAGACTTCCAATGAACAGCATGGTCAACATTTTGCTTGATATGAACTCAATTGCATATAATTATGGAATGTGATATAACTGTCCATTAGCATGCATGATCCTGCACTTAGAAATACCAGGGAGATATGGAATTAATGGCACATTGAGTTCTTTTACTTTCTTAGGCTAGAAGAGGGTCCTATACAATATAAAGACTTTTTGGCATGTCAGGGTACATTACAGTAGTGATGCACGGGGTGGGTGGGGTAATCTCCTAGAAATAGATTTCATGAGTAGAAAGATTTCCTGTATCCTAATTTTAAAATTCTTCTTAAAAGTATTTGGGTGCCATTAAAAACTCAGTTGTTATAAATAAATAAAAAAAAAAAAAAAAAAAAAAAAATTGAGATTATTTATGCAATATTCTAAAAGGAAGAATTATTACAGTTTGATTTTGTTTGTGTTGGTTAAGAGATCAAAAACCCTGTGAAAATAAGGTGGGGAAACCATGAATGTCTTTTTGTTCCTCCTGGCTTTAACTCTTGATATTGTTAATCATTAAAACAGATATCCTTAATCCCTTAAGATATCCTTAATCCCTCACTGTCCCCATTTTGGGGACAGTGAGGGATTAATGGAGGTAATAGAAACCCTGTAATTAATTTTTTTTTAATACTGTATTTTTAATTTTAGTTAAGTAATTTAATTGAGGTAAATTAATTTAAGTCGTTTTAAATTTTTATTTTAATTCTTATAATTAATACCAGATTTTTACAATCGTTATTAATGGGTTAAGAGTTGAAATGAAAATTTGACATAATTATTTTATTTTTTGTTTTCTGAATTTGAGTTACATTGTAAATATTTTTTTTTTTTTCTTACTACATGACAAAGCATGACAAATGTGTCAACATTTAAATTTAACTGTAAATAAAAAAAATTTACAAAAATAATATAGCTGTCCTAAGAAATAATAGGAAACAAAAAAAATTACTGGATTAAAAAAAAAGGATTTTTTACTTTGTAATTGAAAAATTCATTGATTCATATTGTGCATATTTTGCTGTCGGCACAATCTCAAAAATACATAATTGCTCAAATATTTTTACTTTTTAGACTTTCCCATTGACATTTTATCATCTGTCATTTTTCTGCAAAACTGCAAAATCTGTCTAATTATTGATGACAAACTTGTGTTAAATATATAAAAGTCATGACTAGACTAGATAATGAATAACTGAAATCCAGAAAAGTAAAGTCTGTCTTTGCCATCATAGCAGGAGTTGAAAATACAAAGTAAAATTAACAAAAGAAATTTATAAAAACTCTTTTATTCCATTGATTTGAAATGCATCGGAATATTTTGCATATTCTTTTGAATAATACCAAGTTTGAAATTAAGGAAGAAAATGTCGCAATGTAATAAACAAGGAAAATAAATAAATGTGTATGTGTGTATGTATATATAATATATATAACTAATTCTGGCAATTATTTTAATATATTTTCTGTTTATGCGCTATTTTTATAGATACAAATATTTAAGTAAATGCTCTGTCTATAATAAACAGTATTAATAACATTTACTGGGCTGAATGTCTGAGAAAAATGTAATAGTCCTCCAGCAAGAATCGAAGTTAATGGTCAGAGTTGAATTAGACCAGGAAACAGTAGTATTAAAAAGTGCTCAATACACATAAAAAGATAAAAAAATTAACATGTAGGGCTTTTAAGCATAGAAAATTAGTAAATCAGCCAATTCTGCTATCTTGATTTCAACCTTTCAGTATGTTCAGGTGATCAGAAATATATATATATATATATATATATATATATATATATATATATATATATACACACACACACACACACATGTCAATAACTTTGCTTAATTTCTAATTTTTAAAAATTTTTTTTTCAGTTGGCTTTGTATTTCTGTACAGGAATTCTGAAAGATGAATCCAAATTCTGGCATTACGCTTTGAATGTTCCCCTCTACACCCATTTCACATCACCCATTCGAAGATATGCAGATGTCATTGTTCATAGATTGCTTGCTGCTGCTTTGGGTAAGTAACTCTTAAGGATTATTCGGTACTTTGTTTGGTAGATTTGTAAATTTGCAAGATGTACTGTTTTATATCTGCTTAACAGTGCCACCTAATAATGTTTTGGCAAAAACTGGCAAAGCCATGATCTTAACATGTCAATAAACTTTGTTAGTAGCAAAAAAAAAAAAAAATGAAGCAAGTGGTCTTGTGCTGTGTTGGAAAAATTTGATACTCAAAGTTTTAAAATAGAATTTTTTTTTTTTTTTTTTGTGTCTGAGTTTTTTTTTTTTTTTTTTTATTTCATAATAACTTGTTGAATTTTTTTGCCCTCCCCTAATTTATTTCTATAAATAATGGAAAATGAAAGAAATACTTAATGAAATTAAAATTTTTGTGTTTGATCCTAAATTGTCTTTTGCATTTATGATAAAACAGATCAATTGAAATAAGCATTGGGTGAAAGGAACTTGTTTATTGTTTATATTTATTTGAGGTAGAAAACAATTCTGGGAAAGTGTCTTTCTCCACTTTGAGATAATGTGTTCACATTTAAGTCATTCTTAGCTGAATTTGTTAAAATATTGGATCCACCTTGGACAACGTGAGTGTGGCAAAAGTTGTATTTTTAGATTTGAAAGAATGTCTTTGTCACATTTGAAGATGGGAGATAAACAAATATTTACTGTGATTTATGTAATCAAGATAATATTTTGCCTCATTATCAATAACACGATGCCATCTATTAAGCAAATTATTGATTTCTTCAGATATAAAATTATTCAAGTTTAGGTGTACCCCTCTCCCAATAAAAAATCCCCATTCAAACTCATTTTTAACCTCTTAACAATTAATAAACAATTTTCATTCTAAAAAAAAAAAAAAAAAAATTTGTTGCAATTGTTAAGAGAATCTATTTTTATGAATCAAACTTCTCTGAGTCGTTGGTCATTTGATGTGGTCAGATGACCTTACAGGTGGGGGTATTCATTGGTTGGGCCCAAAATTAAGAGAGTTGGCTGTTAAAGTCAGTTGTTGCAGAAATCTGCTTCAGCACAGTTCGTTAACTACCATTTGGTGACCTTACATGTAAATTATACCACAAAATTCAGCAACTCTTGACTGAAGTTATTTTGAAGTATTTCTAACTTCTTGTCAATAAGCCTTTATGGTTTTTGCTTTTTCGCCACTGATCATAATCACTAAAATTATAATTAATAAGTTCTTTTTTTTTTTTTTTTTTTTTTTGTTACTATAAAACTTGGTCTTTCTGTTGTTCTATTTGCTTTTCTTTATCTTATTTCTTTTGTTGTTGCAAATGACAAAGGAATCGCTGAACATGTAAAGGTGTCACACACCGACTTCCAACCAAGCATAAATAGGACCATTAAAGAAAAATGGCAGCAATTATGGAACAACTGTGTAAACGATAAACTTCTCAACATCCAACCAATCATCAGTGAAAGATTGTCAAGTTACAGAAAGATAAGGAGAGAGGAGGTGGTTCTAGCCACACATACATAACCCACCAATATCTACTAAAAAATGAGAAACCACCAATATATGTCCCATGACAGGAACCATATACAGTCAAACACATTCTACTAAATTGCTGTAACTTCCAGCAAACATGAATCAAACTCTACAAATTGGATAACTTAAAGGATCTTTTTGTAACATCATAAATTTCTTTAAAGAAATTGGACTCAACAGGAATATATATATATATATATATAAATTTTTACCAAATCTGCTTACCTACATTGTTTTATAACCAATTTTTGAAAGAAAAATTATTTCCAGCAAAATACATTTGACTCTCAGCAAAATCCCTATTTACAAAATATGTCAATGAAATCTGATTTACAAAATGATTCCTTACAATAAATACATAATCTATTCATATGAACCTATCCGAAAATTGTTGTTGGTATTAAATAACTCTTTGAAGTTGATGTCATTAAACTAAATAAACTAAACCAATCCATTCTTTTGTCGCACATGTGACACAATGATATAAAAAGATGAAGCAAGGTAAGGAGAGTGGTGTCATAATCTTTTTTTTTTCTGTGTGATTCGGGCAATGCATCGTCTTCTTGCATTATTGTGTAAGAGCAAATACACCTTTATGATTTAACCTTTGATGAGGGCATTTTTCTGTAAATTTCTGTCTGGTGCATTTCCAATTGATGACAAAAAAATAAGACTCTTCTTCACATTAACTGTTTCATTTTAGTTTAGCACTTCCTGATAGATGACACGCCTTTTATATACCACCAGCCATATGTAGTGTAAGGGTTTTCGGATGACTTCTTTTTTTTCAGTGAATGCTAACCATTGTAGCTTTCATTGGATATGATTATAGAGAATTCCTCCTTCATCATGGGTAATGATTCTATCACAGAAAAGATTTGGTAGTAAGTTCCTGGTTTATACATACATTTTTTTTTTTTTTTTTTTTTTTTATCAGAGTTCATGAAGGTGTTTTATGATCAAAGTGTGGCAGTTTGCTTAGAATTTTCTTCAACTATGGTTTGCTGAAGCTCAATTTAGGCATAACTTGGTTGTCCAGATTGAGGAAAATCTTTGATAGAAAAATTTCGTGATTGGAACAGTCAATCCATCATTTTGAATTCATACAGCGTTTATGGGTCTCACATTTTAAAAGGTTACAATTCATACAAAATTTATTTGCACCGATATTAATCTGTAAAGGAAGAAAAATAGGACCTGAAAATTAATGGTTACTTTTTGTTTGTTTTAGCGGCATATCAACTCCTCATGGGTCATTTAATGCTGAAATTTAATTTTCTTTGGAGCATTAGTAATTTCATTTAAAAAAAACAAAAAAAAAAAAAAAAAAAAAAAAAAAAAAACATGATACATTTTTTTTTTTTTGTTTTACAAAAATATACTGCTCATATTTTTATGATAAAAATGTATTTTCATACTTTCATAGTGTTTTGACCCCAGTTTGGCAGCTAACTATTTGGCCATAGCTGGGACTGGATCAGGGTGGACCTATGAACGATAGTAATTAAAAGGTTGTTCCAGTCCTCAAAACCTCCTGATCAGAGGCCTTGCTGCCGGATGTAGTTTATCGTCATACCAATGACGGGATTATTTTTACCACGAGTATTAAAAATGTTACATTCAAATAGGACTTTCTTTCCAACCCAAAAGATGTTGTTTTAATCAGTGTACATGGTTGGTGCAGGGACTTTATTTTTTTTGTTTTGGTCTTTAAGGAATTTCTCAAACATCTGAAAGGATCAAAAGTGTCTCTGGATTCGATTATTAATTTCTCACAAATATGCAAACCTCTGATTACTAGCAAATTCTATTAGTCGCAAGACTATCCACAAGAAATCTAGTTTCTGTATTTTACACACACAATGATGTACTTCAAAAGATTTAAAAAAAAAAAAAATTCCTTTGTGAAAGAGATACTATTGAAAAAAACTTTTTCCACTAAGTCTAATCTGTCATAAGTCAATTGTCGTAGGGCAGAGAATGAGAATGGAATATCCTAAACTAGTGAACCTAGTCTCTGGGAAGAATATTCTAACAGTGGCACATGATGGTATGTGTGTTGTTTGCTTTACCAATTCTTTATATTCTTCAGCAGAACATCTAAGATTCCTTTTAATGCTTTTTTACTTTTTTGTTTTTTTATCTGATTTCCTTCTTTTTCAGGTTGGCTGTTTCTTTAAAATTTTTTGACAAGGGTTATTGCGAGTGAGAATTAATGGTTTCATTCTTGTCAGTTTTCATAGTTTTTCTTGGAGAGTTTTCATATTTCCGAGAGATTTTTTTTTTTTTTTCTCTCTCTCTATTTTGATATTCAAGAGAGGATTGGCTGACTTTCTGGAGAGACAATATCATTTTTTTTTTTTTTTTTTTTTTTTTTTAAATTGTTTTATAACAAAAGGATACTCTTTTTAAGTAAATCCTTTTTAAAAAAGTTTAATAACTTTTTTTCCTTTTAAGTCTTAATATTTGTCCTAAAATTCATGCAATATAAAACTGAAAAAGTATTAGTCTTAACATCTAAAAGATTTTTTTTGAGTTATTTTTATCCCTGAATTTGCAATTATCTCCCATTTTTTTTAGATTACAGTCCCTTGCCTAAAATGTCAATGGAAGATATGGAGAAACAAGCCAAACACTGCAATGACAAAAAGTCCAATTCCAAACGGGCCCAAGAATTGAGCAACGAGATTTTCTTTGCTGCTTTTGTGAAGGTGAAGACATTTTTTCCTTTTTCTTTTTTCCAAATGAAATCTAAATTATTTCAATATTTACCTGCTTCTTGCTAAACTGATTCTTTATTTGCTGGTGTTCATTGGAAGAAATGGTGATGTCCAAATGTTAATTGAAATCAAAAATGATTGCAAGAAAAATTTTTTTCCTATGACTAGATGCATTTTTTTAGCTTTGTCAAATACAGCAAAGTTTTTTTTTTGTGTTTGCATTGTTAATAACAGATCTCTTTGAACTGCATGAGTGTAATGGAGGTTGTAGACCTTAAGCTCTCTGTCTTTCTATCTCCATTTCTCTCTCTCTCTCTCTTGGGTGATGGAGGTTGTAGACATTATGCTCTCTCTCTCTCTCTCTCTCTCTATTACACACACAAGTCTTCAGCAACTTTAAATTTTTTTTTTTTAAAATCACTTTTCTTCTTCTTCTTCACAGTTTACTATTGGCTGATCCTGAATATTTTCATTGTTTCTTGCCACGTTTCTTGTGTGTTGTGTTGCTATTGTTCCCTTTATTTCCCCAAAATTCTCCCTCCTCATTTTGTAATATAAGAAATCTTGTATTTTTCAGGAGGTTGGTCCACTTCATGAGAAAGGAATGGTCATGTCTGTTTTGGATCATGCGTTTGATGTCTTCATTCTTAAATATGCAATTGTGAAAAGAGTTTATTGTAACGTAAGTGAATTTTTGACTTTTACAAAACATGCATGACAGATGGCTGAACACAGAAAATATCAAATTTTGACCCCCACCCCTTTTGGGGTCTGTATTTGTTAGTATGAAGCAGAATTTTAGCTAAGGCATTTTATACAAGGCATAAGTCCATTATTCCCTGTCCCATCACTGGATAGCTTTACAAAATAAACATTTGACAATGAAGAGGGAGCACTTGGACAAATCCCTTTCCCATAATTAATTTTTTTTTCTCTTGTAAGCATATCAATGGGTTCCTCTTTTCACTGACCAGATAAATAACCCCATGTTGGATCTCTATTCTTGCTTGCATTGGTGTCCACACAAACTGGGAAGTGCCCATTGCACATTCACAAGGAAACAAAAGGTGGTAATTAGCACTGTGGTGAGAAATGAAAACTTGAATCCTGTTTCCACTATTTTTAGTGATTCACTTGCACAGGGCGTGGGGGGTCGGTAGGTAGATAGGTAGGTGACGCTTGGGACAACTTTTGTTACCCCTTAACTAGCGATAACTCTCCTATCACTCCTCTGCCCATCTCTTCATTATGACATGCAGCTGATAGCTCTCTCTCTTGACTGACCATTTGCATCTGCCAATAGGCAGCCTGGAACTACTGGACAAGTGGCCTGTACTCTGGCAACAGCTGTATTAGAACTACTTTCAAACCTAAGTGTGACTGTTTGTATAACTTGGCAAATGGAAATTACTAACATCCAGTCAAATGCTACCTGATCCCAACATTTTTCATTTATTAATTGATTATTTTATTCCCTTTTAGTCAAGTGGGTGGTTGCTTGTGAAGATATATTTTCACAGACTTTACTGCTCCTCATAAAAACATAAAACTGAGATAAAAATTATTTTCTTCTATGTGGCTCTCCCAATCAGTTGTTGTTTCACCCCCACCATCAAAAAATTGTTACTAGTGCAGCTGATAATCTACATTTTTATATCTAGATTTTTTTTTTTTTAATTTATTTATACTCCTTGTCTTATTCTCTTGAAATAACTTCTTATATGTTATTATATTAAATGATGTTAAAGCTAAAACAAAAAAAAAAATTTTTTTTTTTTTTTTTTTTTTTTTTTTTTTTTTTAAAATTAAATCTGGTTGACCATGTTGCTTCCAAGAAGAAGAAAATTCCTATTTTGACTTTGCATTGGAAAATGGAAGGGAAATCTGTTGTTGCCCAAGAGATTTGTGTCTTCACTTTGGTCAATTGTATTTTGGAAACTGATACGGAACCTCTTCGATGGACAGTGAGTTTTTCTTGATTTGATTTTTTTTTTTTTTTTTTTTTTTTTTTATTGTACTAGCATAAGAGACAGTTTTCTATTGAATTAGGGTTGAAAGGATTAAGTAGGAGTTGCTAACTGACGTGATAAAGTTCCTGACTTTTAGGTGGGGAGCTGTTTAAAATGAGCAAACCTTTTTTTTTTTTAGTAAACATGGACCTTTTGTGCCTGCAAAAAAAAAGAAACAGTGTCAAAATGATGTTTCTTTTTCCCTGTGTTTCTTTGTTCTTGAAAATTGGCAGCAAAAGTAATAAACATAATTTATTTATTAGATTATTTACTCAATTTATTATTTGTTAGAATGGTTGGCACAACATTAACTAATTGTCAATTGATTTAAACTTTATAAAATGGCAAATAAGGTATTCCTTACAGTATTTACAAATAAGGTATTCCTTATAGTTGGTTAATATATTTTAATTAGTAAATGTTTATAAATTTATGAATTAAAAATTTTCATAATTATTTCTTTATAAATTGCTAAGTAATAAACATTGCATTAGTTTTAATTGTATTAGTCTTTAAAATATTGTAAATATGAAATGATTCTTGTAAATAAACAAACTAATAAATAAATAGTGTTTTATATTTTTGTCTTATAAATTCACTTTCATCATATGTTTAGGTTTTATTACAATTCTAATTATTGTTTTTTAAAACAAACATTGCCAAAGAGAGTGAAGATAATTAAAATAAAAGCAGTGTCATGGGAAAAAAAAAACTGTCCTTTTTGACACTCCATATTTATTGCAGGTATTAAGATGTGTGTGTCTGGCTAAAACTGAAAAAACTACAGTAATTAATGATAAAGTATAATGATTACTGATTAATGTATATATACAAACTTTTAATGATTAATGTATATATACAAACTTTTACAAAAAGCTGGCTTGGTTGATAATGAGTCTGTATATATATTTGCTTTATCATTAATTACTGTTGTTTTTTTTAGTTTTAGCCAGACACACATACAGACAACTGCCCTTTTATATATTTATTAGCAACAGTTTTGCTGTTTTGTAATTATGGTTGTGTGTGTGTGTCCAATTATCATTCTGCTGTTAACAATAGTGGTGATTTTCTAAGTGTAGCTTATATGTGGCACAAGGGTGAAAGTATGGGGTACCCAGTGAGGATTGAAGTCACTATTCAGTTGTAATTGATCTAGCAAGACCAGCTTGTTAACCATTACACCACTTGGAAGTGCCCTGTTGTTAACAGTAGTGAGAGATGATTGTGTAAGTTTTTTTTTAATTAATTTAAAAACTTGTAAACTTCATGTTGAATGTCAACCTTTTTACTTGTTTTGTTTTCTATTTTCAGGCTGTGATCAAACCTCCAAAACTGTGATAATTGCAGCAGAAACTTAAGAAAATCCAAAAAATTTTTAAAGCTGAGGTTGGGGTAATGGTAGCCTAGGAGGAGGAGGCAGCATTGGGAGAAAATACAAAGCTCCTCTCCAAAATCACACACACACACACAATCTTTTTCCCTAAAAACTTCTGAATAATTTTAAAAACTTTGACCTCAAACAATGGTCTTCCTGGTTAATATTTTCCTTTTTAATTTTTAAATATTCCATAATTTATTGAAATTCCAATTTTTCTTGGCTACATTATCTCCCCCCCCCCTTACCATTTCCAAAATGTGTGTCTATAACGTTTAAACCTTTTGTCTATTCATTGTTGTCATGGCTTTTGGTCTTTTGGTAACTGTTGTGAATGTATCCATTTCAAACTTGTTTCTCTTTCATTGTTATCTACCCGACACACCCACTTTGTCATCGCTTTCTTTTTTTTTTTTTTTTTTATCTAAATGAATATTTTAGATATGATTTTTAAATACGAATTTCTTTTATGATTTTTATTTTGTAGAAAAATCTTTGCCGTTGGGGGGGTGGGGGTGGGGGAGGAAAGATAGAATCCCAGATTCAAGTGGTTATGCTTAAATATTTTTACTTGGATTTATTTGATGTAAACTAAACTTTTTTTTTTTTTTTTTTCCAAATCGTCATCTTTTCTTTTGTCTGACGGACTAAGCTAGAAACATTTGTTTGTTCTTCAAGGGAGAACACAAGCAACGTGGACAATTATTAACATGTCGAGACATCATTGCATTGAATTTCACTCGGTGAATTTTTTTACTCTGTGTTTTTAGTTTTTCTTTTAAAATTCTGTATTTCTCTTTGCACTGCCCGATGCTTTCTCAAGCCTTTCATTTTTGGATCGGCGTCGTTTGCATCTTTAGAAACTTTTTAATTTAGACTTAGTTTTCCGAGGCTTTACCAAAATCTTGTTGCCATCTCCATGTTATTGAACAACGTTGTGTGACTATGACATTGGGGGAAGGGGGGGGGAGAGAGAGAGAGAGGGTTTAATGGCCCCCACCCCCTTCAAAAATGACTGAACAAATTAGATTGAGGTGCATTATGGGTAGGGCTTGAGAGATCAGAAGTTATTGATCTGTTATTTGTGATCAATAAATTTTGGGTCAATATTTGAATGGGTTCATATTGCAAAACGTCTTATGATTTTTATTTATTTACTTTTTTAATTTTACAGAGGAAAAGTTAAGTCAACAGTAAAAAGTAAGATTAGAAAGATAAAGATTGAAAATATTTTGAGATTGTTTGGCAAACGAGCAGAGGTGGAGATTGTTAAACGTGGCTGTGAAGCAGTAACTAATGTCAAAAGATAGAATTAAATATTTAAACTTTTGTAACATTAACAATTCTTATATTATGAAATGTGCAAAGATTTCCAGTAGCTGGTTTTGAAAACTAGACTTAAGTGGATGGCAGAATTTTAAAAAAAAAGAAAAAAAAAAAAAATGGCTGGAGACATTTGCATACATCTTAAATGTGCCTTTTTTTGCTGTCTAATATCTTTTTAAAATTGAAAGTATTTTTTTTTTTTAATTGTCTATCATGGTGGACACATCTCAAAACTCTTTCCTAAACTCTGCTAACCACTGAAATTCCTGATGGGAAGGGGAGGACTATTATTATTATTACTACTACTACTACTGCTATTACTGCTACAGGGTGCCTAGTAAAAAAAAAAGCAGCAAATTTATTCTTTGAGAAAACCCACCAACTCTAATTTGTCCATCTCAGTTGCCCTGTAAAATCCGAGACGTGAATGTTATGGATGACTGCATCTGTAGTATACTCCTAACTCATTTGCAAAACTGTCGTCATGACAAACTGTAGGTTGGAATGAAATTCCTCTTAACACTATCCACAAAGTTACTGCCTCCTTCCTGCTTACCATGATTACAACTTTGTGTTGAACATTCAAGCAAACATTTCAAACATCTATGATCATTGTTTAGTTTGTCCCCGAATCATGGTAGCTAAATAAATTTCTTTCTAAATTTACCACATTTTTGACTGGGCACTCTGTATTTAAAAAATCTTTCAAACAAACTGAGTTTTAATGAGATAAACCATCTGCTTTTTTAGTGAAAAGTAGATGCAGCCATGCCTTTTTCTTAGCATTTAATTATAGAATTAGTCACAAAGAACAGATTAGGCTTTTATTATGGCAGTTATATCCTAATTTCTATCTGATTGCGAAATCTGTATACAAGAAGAGTCGTGTGTTGAGCTGTGCAATGAAATACTTTTAGATGCCACAGCAGCAGACGTGGGATTGGCAGTCATCAAAGTTCTACGTATCAGCGACTAATGGCAAATTGGTAGCCAATCATTGTTTTCTCTTGGAAAAACATGAAATGACATTTTTTTTTTTTTTTTTTTTTTTTGCTGCTAAGAAAACTGGATATTTGTCAGTTGAGGAATTCAGAAACAAGAAAGTTAGGTTGAAAGATATTCTCTGACAAAAGCCTTTATTGATATTCATGGAAATTTCTCACAGCCGCTTTGATTTACTCATAATTGGATATTTCGCTGTTTAATCAGATTTTCAGTTTATTATTTCAATTAGGTATCAAATGGGATAGTTTCACGATGTTATCTATAAAATAGACACAAGTTTGCGATGCTTACAAGAATATTCATATCAGTTTGGGTCTTGTAGAGAAATGTCTGTACCATATCAAGCTGTGGTTGGTTTACTTTTGGGTTTGTCATGGACCCATTCCCCTCCAGTAAGATCTGTACCAGGGTTATGGTGGTGGTGGTGTATTTTTATTTTATTTTTTTTTTATTTTTTTAATTTTTTTTGTACCAGATAGTTAGATTTTTTTTTTTTTTTATTTAGTTTGTCAGAACTAGTTTTATTATTTGAGGTTGTTCAACTAGTGGAAATCGAGACCATTCAAATATTTTGGCAGGAGGGTACATTGCCTTTGCTACTCAGTGGGTCCATGTGCGAGGGATTCATCCTGGTTTTACTTCTTGAAGATTTAGGATTTTCGCTGTCACTGGTCCTGCCACATCAAAGCAAGGGACAAGTGGAATAACCGCCAAAATGTAAAAATTGCATGAAATTTGCACCATTTTTACCCATAGTTAAAACAGTTTTTTATTTATTAGATTTAGACATTTTTTTTTTCTTTTTGCCCAATTCCTGTCTCTCATTTGCAGAAGCCATTTGAGAACATTGGATTAAGGAAGCCCTTTCGATGCTAAAGAAAAATGCTTTTTGGAATACCCACCCTCCAAGTTTCTGATTTTCCCCACTTAAAAAAAAATGCTTTGTGGGAACAAATGTCTCCCCAACCCTTTACTTTCTCGTTGCAATCATTTTGTACAAACAATTTTGAACATGTCCGATTGCATGTGAAAGGAACAAAGTAACAATCTTATCCTTTTAGCAATATTTTCCTGCATTTTTGTTGTCTTCAGTCCATCTGTTGGTTTGGAAGAGAATTTAATTCATTATACTACAGATATTTACTAAGCTCATCTTTGGGTCATGTGATGCACTCACCTTCCATGTTAAAACTTGGGTTTATCGAGAAAGGAAAAAAAAACAAAACAAACATTGGCGCAATATAACCTTCCTATTGGAATTATTGGGCCAGATGAGAGTTGAGTAAATCTTTATTTATTTTTGAACGAGTCTTAAAAATATATAAATGTGACATTGAGGTCAACACTGATCGGCGACAATCTGTTTCATGCCTGAATGCAATCAATGATACTGTTGCTTCTCCGTGTCTACTTTTATATTTAAATGCCTTCTCTGATATTGAGCAATTTTATCCATAAATATAGATTACCTGTAAATTAGATTTTTATCACCTAACATATATTAATTTTACTTTATCTTTTTATTGCTTATCTTAGAAAGTTTGTCAACGAATGAGGTTGTTGAACAGTATAGGCAAGTCCCTGCTGAACAGTGTCACCAAAAGATCAACCATTGAAAATGGCTTCTAAACAGTTTTACCTCCCCAATTTCACTGACAAAGCTTCATTCAACCTCATGATATAGTTTTTCAGGCAATTCTCAACTGTGCTGCATGTTGAGATCATCTAAGACATAACATTGTCAAGAAGTTAGCTTGACTAATTTACCAGGGTGAGATTTAAGTCTGGGTTTCATGGTTGAAATGCTAACCTTCTAAGCATTTATTCATCCGCAGGGGGTCGTGTGAAGGCAATGGAGGGAGGAAAGGCATTTCAAACTTTTGTTAAAATGAAGGGATTTTTTTCTTCTTCTTTCTGTGAATTACCAGTAAAAAAATTTTTTTTTTTTTTAAAAAAAAGGCTATAATTTAACACTTGCAGACCTTAAATGTGTACCCCCACATATCAAGTGCAATTTACCTGCCTTTTTTTGATTTGTTTGTTGGTTGTGTTGACTTGAAGTGTGAAAACTGCAATCAACTTGTTAAATTGCTGATGAATCCCATGTCATTTTGAGTGATGCAAGGCGTAAGTGTGAGTATGACAGTCACACAGTATGCAAACTCACTGCCAAGATGAGTAACTTAACAGGACAGCGTTCATGCATGTGCAGTAAGGTGCCCTCGAATTGGTTATCAACTTCCATCAAGACTGATACTCGCCTCCCCCATGATATTCTGCTTTTTTCTTTTTTAAATTTACCCCATTTATTTAACTCGACCTTTCCAGGTCAGCCAAGAGGAACCATAATCTGCCTTTCAAACCCACCGTGCCCCCCCACCGCCCCATGCAACTGGGGGGAGGGGGGAAGGAGAGGATATTAACCATAATGTAATTTTCTGTGCATCATTAAAAAAAAATATTTCACTGTACCAGAAAAGGTTTTTCTTTTCTGTTTAAATGACAAATTAAGTAAAATGTATCACTTGAATTTATGAATTAAAAAAAAAAAAAAAAAAACCCTGAAAAGCCCAATTTGTCTTCCCACTCTTAAATTTGTACAAAATGTCAATGATTATATTTTTTCTTTTTTTTAAATACTTGTAAAATCCTATTTAAAATATTCTTTTATTATTATTATTTTTTTTCTTTTAAACGAATTGTAAATTGCTCCTTTTCTTCACTAAAGACATTTTACCAATCACCACGTAATTCCATATTCGAGGGGCCAAAATGGTCAGCTGTTTTATAATTACATTCTTTATTGAAGTTTGGTTGACCCTTGACTCTTTGCTAATTAGATTTGGAAATAAATTAGAAATGATTTTTGACGTTTCTCAGCAGTGGAGGCCAGAAGAAAAAAAAAATTTGTAGCATTGGAATATTTGAAAATATGAAAGAAAATCACCAGAGTAACGTGTGTGTATATATTTTTCAAATAAACCTGAAATTTGTTTCAGAACCCAATCTGTTTGCTGTGTGTTGAAGAATTAGATTGTCAGGAATATTATCCAATGGCTTCTCTAGTTTAGAAATTGGGTTCATCTATTTTATGAATCCTAATAATTTTGCTTCTTCAAACATTTATCTGAATATTTGCACTTGTGGATTGCTGGGCATTATTAACCTCTTGGCACTAAAGATGGCACCTCCATTCAGAGGTTGTGACATCACTACATGAACTTAGATCTTTTCACTGCATATTCAACGGAGTTTGTTTTATTGGGAAGATCACAGAAAAAAAATATATATCACAGCCTCTTGCTAGAAATTGATCCCCTTATTTTATTTTTTCTGTGGAGAGAGGAAGGTTTGATTGCAAGTTATTTGATCTCACATTACAATTTTTTTTTTTTTTTAAATGATCATTTTTAGACAGATTATCATGTGTGTGAGGGTTTTATATAATGTGGTGCCCTGTCTGACAAAGGACACTACTACAGTCTATATCAAGAGCTGTGGGGAGTGGCATGTGCACACAGACACAGAAAAAAAAAAAAAAAGTTGCCCACCTCTACTCTGGTTTATTTCTAAAATTTTTAATCAACTTCTTTGTTTTAATTATATCTGTCATTTTGTGATTGCTTAGAAGTTGAAGTGTACAGTTATTCCTTACTGGGTTCATGCCTTTACAGCTTTCCAGTTCCTACATAACATAAAAATCTGATATGAGTTTTTTTTTTTTTTCTTCTTCACCCTCCTGTCTTTAATTCTCTGAAAATGTTTCTTAATTATAAGGGAGTTTTACTTCACTTAATCTAGCAGTTGTCAAAGCCTGGACTTCAAGAACATTTCAACATCACCCAGCCTGGCTTCCACATTCAAGAAAAAAAAAAAAAATACTTGAGAAAGGATTTTCATTTAAATTTTTTATTTTCAGTTGAATTGTAAAAATTTATGCAAATGAGGTTTGACTCCCATAATTTCTTTAATTGTAGAAAAATAAAAACTGTCAATACAGCATGGAATAAAATCCAAAGAAAAAATTCTCATCCAAAATTAGACTTCAGATTGGTACAAAAAGATGTTGACTGTTTAGATTCCAAGGCAAATGATTTAATAAGAAAAAAAAAAAAAAAATCCTATATGTATTGAATTTGTGGTTGTGATATAAAAGTTAACTGTGCATGAAAAATGTCAAATTTGTTTGACTTTTTAAAATTAATGATAAAAACTTAAAATTTCCGGATTTATTTCATTTGTTGTTTTTTGAGAGACGAGATGAGCAGAAATTGTGGTCGCATTAAAATAAATATGCAAAAATCCATGAGATATGTTGGTCCAAAAGCAATGCCTGTGGGTTCAACCGGTTACTTTGCTAAACGAGAAATTAAAATCTTAGAGATATTTTTTTTTTTTTTTTAACCAATCTAAGCTGAGCTGGAAAAGAAATGTCAAAAAAACTTTGATTTGTGCTTTTTGAATTTAAAAAAAAAAAAAAAAAAAAAAAAAAAAATTTTTTTTTTTTTTCTTTCTTTGCAGGGTGGTATTAAAAAATTGTTTATTTTGGAGAAATATCTTATGCAGAATTTCTGTGTCTTTGGAAAAGCAATTCATTTTCGTGGCGGTGGGTAGGTGTTCAAGCCTGCAATTCAATTCCTAATTGTATCATGGTGTCTAACAACTCTGGGTCTTCTGCCCAATTCACTCCACTTGCAATGATGAGGGTTTGCATAATGTATTTAATTGCGTTGTTTTGTTTCTTCTTGATTTGAAGTTCCTCCAAAATTCTACACAAAAAGAAAAAAAAAATCAGTTCATTCTTCAAGAAGGCAAACGCGTTAAAATGGTTAAATGCTTTTGCAATTAGCATTTCTCAGTTCGAAAATTATTAAATCGAGATAACAAGATTCACTGTTACTCTAAGGGAGATAACTCTGTAATACAAAAAATTCAAGGGAGATAAACATGCTACATGATTAAAATAAAGAAAAATCACTTACAGTGCCTCTTCCTTTTTGCTATCAAAATGTTTATTCATAGATTCTAAATTTTTATTGGTGTTGTCCAGAAAATTCATCAGTTCTCTGTTCTGCGTAATTATTTCTGCAAAGAAAAAGAAAACTGAAATGAAACAGTTTTATGGCTTTGCACATAGCATCAGGGGCTGTTTGTTTTTGGTCTTTTGTAGAATTAAAAAAGCAAAAATTCTTTGGAATTTCACAGAAAATTGGATGGATTTTTATGGTGAACAGTTGGTTTAAATAAAATTTTCTAGACAAGGAAGTTAACAGAGGATTTTACTGGTCAACATTTGACCCCAGTGTTGACAATGCAATGCACCAACATAAGGTTGAGGCACTTCTTCCACGTCTGTCATCTTCAGACGACCTCGTTCCCCCCCCCCCCATGAAACACAGTGGTCAGATTGTTCTAATGAGCCCCAAAATATCAGGATTCAAAAGTGAAATCATTCTTCCTGACAGAATGGACAATTTAACTGAAAGGTGGTGATAGCTTTATTATTCAGTCAATGTATTTTATCTGGCAATCAATGGATTTAACTTTCTTTTATTATTTACATTTGTTCAAAATGGCCTCAGGATTGGTGAAAATTTGGGATAACAAAGACATTTGAATGTAAATATTTGTCAAGTGTCATGTTTTTTTTTTTTTTTTTTTATTATACACACTTGGGTGATCATGTCTTTCTGTGGTAGACTTGTGGCCAAACAAGGGATTAATGCCTCCCACAATGGTATTTGTGCATAAATGAATGTAATGAACCCAACTGGAATTCAAATTCTGCTTTCTCATTCCGAGCCACCCTCCATTGCACTAAACTGCAAATATTGGTAACAGACAGAAATGAGTTTTTGTCAAGAAAATGTTGGACACTTTTGCATCAGCCAACAAAACTCAGACTCCCAACTGAAAGTAGACATCTGTTTATTTCTGCCTGAATTTTGCGAGCGAGGACATTATTTTACACATGGACTATTGTCCTCATCTTTGTTGTTATTATTGTTCCCTCCAGGCATCATCAGAGTGAATTCCTTATTTAATCTACAGGATAGATTGTGTCTATGTTCCTTTTTTATTATTGCCCAGTTTTCACAGTCCAAGTCTGAACTGCCTGACCCAGTGATCGAACTCCTAAACCAACACTAGGCTATTGTGCCAAAACAGTCAGCGAAACAGGGAACAATCTAGCCCCATTAGATTAAATAAAAAAAAATTCACTTTTAAATTTCCTGAGGGTTACCTAAATTGATAGACACCTGATGATGGTTGGAGAGCACAATGGTCACAAAGATGAGGACAGTAGTGTACATGCAATGAATATAAATAAAATTGTTATATCTGCTTGGAACTTAAATAAAACTTACATTACTTGAAAGCCTAATGGTTCTAATATTGTAAATTACCTTACTACTTACAGATCTATTAATGGTTGTTGGAATGGATAAACTATCTACATTTAATGACAATTGTCCCAGAAAAAGGGGAATATTTTAAAAAGTGTGTGTGGGGAGTTTAACTTTTAGAAGAATACTGTTTTTCATGGTATCTGTGGCAAATGAAGGCAGACTCCCAGAGAGGGGATTGAAGACCCTGTAGAAAATGGAAAAACCATTCAGCACTTGAAAGTACAAGAGAGGAAGAACCATAAAATTACAGAGCAAAACCGGAGTTTCCTTTCTTCTGGCAAGTCTAAACAAAATTTATATATATATAAAAAACTGATTGAAAATATTTTTTTTCGCTACACAGTAATAGCAATGTTTCAAAAATGGAAGCTAAAAACTTTAAATTTAATTATATAATTAAATTAAAAGCATTAGTTCAGTTTCATCTTCAAGCAAATATTGGAATAACTTCTTTTTAAATTATAATATTTTTCATTTATATAATTAAATTTAAAGTTTTTAGCTTCCATTTTTGAAACATGGTTATTACTGTGTGGTGAAATAAAACCATAATTTCAATCAGTTAATTTATAATATTTATGCTCTGTAAATTTACATTCAGCACTGTTTTGTAAAAAAAAAAAAAAAAAAATCAATAAGAACACCAGATCATATATCTTACTGTTCTTTTTATATATATATATATATATATAAATAAATAAAAGGGTCTTCACTACAATGTTCAAGGTTTTGAATATGAAATATCATGTGAAGCAGGAAGATGTGACACATTTTCTCATCATCATATTCAAGGTTTTTGCAATTTGTCTTTAATCATTATTGGTTATAATTAGGTACTTTGAAAGAAATGTAACATCGAAGGCAAAGGTTGTCAACCTATGGTACACATGTTATACCAAGCAATTTCTAATGGAGTAAATGACATGAAAGTCTGAATGAAAACCAACTACAATGCAAAGAAGATATTTAACTGTTTCAATTTTGATATATACCAAAAGTATATACAGTGTAACCCGGACCAGAGAAGAAGTCTCTTATATCTGGGTTTGGTCTAATTTATATACATTAACACAGGCTCTAGTTTGAGACCAGAGAAAATCTTAAAAACCCTATGTTGGCACATAGATAAGGGGTCAGCAACTTATTGACAGGGTTTCAAATGAATTTTTAAAAATGGAAAAAAAAAAAAAATCTTTCTTGAAGCTTTTAGTTTAGTACTAATTTCAAGCTAAGAGATTAAATTTAATATTTTTAATAAGCAAAATACTTTATTTCAAAAACTAATTTAAATCAACTGGAAGGAGTTTTTTTTTTCTTTTTTAATTCCTGAAAATGGCTGATTTTTAAACACATTTACTATTCTTTCAGCAGAACTGAAAATATCAAAAAAAAAAAAAAAAAAAAAAATTCTTGTGTTTGGTCACCTGCTAATGCAAGCAAAAAAATATTTTTTAAATGTTTAAAAAGGATAAAAAAAAATATAATCTAATAATTAAAACATCCTTTGGTTTTTGTCTTAATAAAGAATTTGACAATAAGACTTTTTATCAAGGATGTGGCATTTTTTCATCATGGTGTGCCTTTTTTTTTTTTTTTTTTTTTAAAAGTGAATCTTTGGTGATACTTAGATATAATTTGTGAAAATACTGACCAATGTATTTAATTTTTTTAAAAAAGGGCTACAAAAATTTAACTACACTATTTACATTGTCATCCTCATCTTTGTTGCCATATTTATGACATTTTGGCCGTTTTATGCTCCAGCCTTCTTCAATGTTGAACTGAACCCTTTATTTTGCTCGCTGGGGTAGACTGTTCTAGTTCCACGTGCCATGTGTAATGGATCTCAGTTATCTCCTGTTAATTCCCCTCTCCAAGTTCTCCACTGTCTTAACCAGGTATTGAGGTCATACTCTTTGGATCCTGTCACTGGATCTAACCAACACCTTTATCCACTGTGCCATGTGTCCTCAAGTCTACCCCAGTCAGTGAAATAAAGGGTTCAGTTTGATATTCCAAGCACCTGAAGAAGGCTGGAGCATACAATGGCCAAAACTTTGTGATAAATATGGCAACAAATAGGAGGATGATAGTCCGAACAATGTAAATAGTGTACATAATACTTCATCTCAGAAATATAGACAAAAATTGAATTATATCCCTTATGGTCTTCTGTACGTCTAATGGTTTGTGCAATAAGTCTTTCCATTTAGATTTGTGAATTGGTTTGAATGAGGAATCTCTGTCATGCACAACAGTTTGAAGTTGGAACATACAAGAGGGTGGAGTGGGCGCTGAAAAGTTCTTGCCGCTACACGATACAATATTTTGAGCTGTCAAACAAATTGTCAAATTCAGCTGACAATGTTTGTTTAATTTTTTGTTTTTTACTGTACTTTTCCAATTTTTGAATGAGATGTCTATCCAAAATCAAAATTGTGGATAAACTGTCCAAAGTTCAGGTTTTGTTCTGTTTTTATTCAAGTACTTTCAACTGTCTCAGTCATTATCAAGAACTGGATGTTGTCAGTAGATAAGACAAGATTTTGTTGGTTACATCCTGGTATTATTTTTGGAGCACTGGGATTTAAATTAGTCCAAAAATGACGTCACAAGGAGTTAGACTATAAGAGAAAAAGACTAGCAAATATAAGTATTATTATTTTTTAAGCCTGTTAAAATATTTTATACTGACTTTAAGATATTGAGAGACATTTTATTTAATATGGTTGATTCTTTTCATATAATAATGGCTTCTAGAATTTTAAACTATTTCCTTGCATTGGTTGCCATCATCTAATATTTGTCTTACGTATTTTGGTTATAAGCATAAATTGTATTTTGATGAGTAGCAAGTTAACCTACGAGAGAGTGTGATGCTTGTGTGGCCAATGTTAGAATTTAATATTGTTTTTTGATAATAGCTATTAGAGATGAACTTTCTTTGATGGCATCAGAATTCATAAACAACATTGTTTTTCAGGTGAAGGGGATTTGTGAGGTTCTGAGGTACAGGTAAGAATTTGGGCAAACTTGGCACCTTTGTGCCTGCAAAAATCAGTGTATAAAGGACAGTTTTCAATTTTTGAAGATCACAGTTGACAAGAAAGCAAGTGTCCAGAAGTGAAAAGCGTGAGAGAAGAAAATGTTAGCATAGAACTTACGGTTATGCTATGAAAGTTATAAGGTTAACTTCTTGAAGATCAAGAGTTCAACTTCTGCATAGTTGGACTGTAGACCCCTTATGTTAGTGATGGAGAAATCAATTTCTAGGGAGGATCTTGATTTAACTTTATTGTGGGGGTTTGCTTTATTCATATTTTGATATGGAGAGATAAGGACTTGTGGTAGCCAGACAGACTTTGAATTCAGAGTTTTCCTTCTAGACTGGTTGTCAACCAAGCCCAGTCTACTCTATTATTTAACCCATAGCTAAGGGGAGCCAAAAATGGTTTCATAACTTTCCCAAGAGTATTTCTCATTCTGAGCCAGTATCCATCACATCACCTGCATACATTTTCTTTTTAAAAAAAAATAAAAAAAAAAAAATCATTTCACCAGGCAATAAAGACACAAGAGGTTACTGAGTGTGAAAGAGTAAGAAAAAAGAGAAACATTATTAAGGAGAGAGAACAATAAAAGAACAAGAATTAAGACATAATGATTAATATTTTTGAAGATCAAAATTGACTTAAAAGCAAGTAGCTGGAAGAGAGTTCCACAAGTGAGAAGTGGGAGAGGAGGAACTGTTAGCATAGTACTTCCAGTTACATCTCACCATTTTAACTATGAAATGATGAGACCTAAATGCCAATCTAGCACTGAACTTAAATTCATAAAGTTTGGGTAACATAAAGGAAAGTTCATCAGAACAGTTACCATGAAAGTAATTATAGAAAAGTCACAGGGAGGCTATGTTATGGCAGGTGGGAATTTGACTGAAGCTGAGATGCCAGGTCAGGACCAATAACACTAAAGATTCTTCTTTGAATTTTATCAAGAATCTCTAAATATATAGTCACAGGGAGGCTATGTTATGGCAGGTGGGAATTTGACTGAAGCTGAGATGCCAGGTCAGGACCAATAACACTAAAGATTCTTCTTTGAATTTTATCAAGAATCTCTAAATATATAGTCACAGGGAGGCTATGTTATAGCAGGTGGGAATTTGACTGAAGCTGAGATGCCAGGTCAGGACCAATAACACTAAAGATTCTTCTTTGAATTTTATCAAGAATCTAAATATATAGTCACAGGAGGCTATGTTATGGCAGGTGGGAATTTGACTGAAGCTGAGATGCCAGGTCAGGACCAATAACACTAAAGATTCTTCTTTGAATTTTATTAAGAATCTCTAAATATATAGTCACAGGGAGGCTATGTTATAGCAGGTGGGAATTTGACTGAAGCTGAGATGCCAGGTCAGGACCAATAACACTAAAGATTCTTCTTTGAATTTTATTAAGAATCTCTAAATATATAGTCACAGAGAGGCTATGTTATAGCAGGTGGGAATTTGACTGAAGCTGAGATGCCAGGTCAGGACCAATAACACTAAAGATTCTTCTTTGAATTTTATCAAGAATCTCTAAATATATAGTCACAGGGAGGCTATGTTATGGCAGGTGGGAATTTGACTGAAGCTGAGATGCCAGGTCAGGACCAATAACACTAAAGATTCTTTGAATTTTATTAAGAATCTCTAAATATATAGTCACAGGGAGGCTATGTTATAGCAGGTGGGAATTTGACTGAAGCTGAGATGCCAGGTCAGGACCAATAACACTAAAGATTCTTCTTTGAATTTTATCAAGAATCTCTAAATATATAGTCACAGGGAGGCTATGTTATAGCAGGTGGGGAATTTGACTGAAGCTGAGATGCCAGGTCAGGACCAATAACACTAAAGATTCTTCTTTGAATTTTATTAAGAATCTCTAAATATATAGTCACAGGGAGGCTATGTTATAGCAGGTGGGAATTTGACTGAAGCTGAGATGCCAGGTCAGGACCAATAACACTAAAGATTCTTCTTTGTATTTTATCAAGAATCTCTAAATATATAGTCACAGGGAGGCTATGTTATAGCAGGTGGGAATTTGACTGAAGCTGAGATGCCAGGTCAGGACCAATAACACTAAAGATTCTTCTTTGAATTTTATTAAGAATCTCTAAATATATAGCCGGAGCAGCAGACCTGATGTGGCAGTGATATTCAAAGAAAGGACAACAATGGCAGACTTATAAATGTATAAGATGGATTCTGATGAGAAAAAACTGTCTAGCATGACAAAATGAAGCAACCTTCTTAGCTGCAGACATTAGGAATTGATTCAATATAATCTTTCCACTTCATAGCAAGGAAAACATTACTTTGAAAAAGACAGAATGAGTCACTCTCCTGGAGGTTAGCATCAGCCATGATGATGGAAAGTAAAAAGGGTTCACACTGACGATTAAAAGAGAACAATTTCATTTTGGAGGTGTTAAAATTAACTAGCCATTCCTTGCCCCAGGCAACAACAGATTGTAGGTCATTTGTGAAGTCAGCTGTCAAATATACCATATCAAGCCAAACATTAAAACATGGGTATATATTTGTGTCATCAGCATAGTTGCTTCAATTCATCCAGGCTTGACATAATCAGCAATGGCAAATATCAGTGTTTAGAAAAAAAAAAAAATAAATAAATAAAGAGGAGGTGTTAATCATCACTTTTATTCTTTTTCTTATCTCTTTTGCCCTCCATGATCTCCAGAATAAAAAAAAATGTAAAGCTAGCCTTCACTCTTATATAGGTAATAGAATTAAAGGGGAGGTAATTAAGTCATTAACAGGAAGTACTTACTTTGATTGAGATCTTTGAGGTCGTCAAGTTCAGCTTGAAGTGTAGATAATTCCTGAAAAAGGGAATAAGAATATTTAAAGAAAAAAAAGAAAAAAAAAAAGAAAAGAAGAGAAACAAAGTCCCCCTACTCTCACACTACTTGGCCTGTCTTAATACAAAACAACGTTTTTGAAGATATGGATTTATATATTTATAAACAGGTGTATTTGTAACCATTTTTGTATGAAAACAGCTTTTCGATGGCTGGCAAGATTAAAATAAATTAAAGCAGATGAGAAAAAAAAAAATCATGAAAAGGCTTTGATGGAAAGCTTTTCATTTGACTGTGGGTGATAAGTTGGTGTTTTGCATGGAACGCAGCCAATAATCAGTGGTTATTCTGGAACTCTGAAAGTGGAGGTGGGGGGAGGGAGGAACCACGAGTTTTCTGTGGAGGAAGAGGGGGGGGCAAATTCAAGCAGCGTCTTTATTTTCATACTACACCACTATTGTATACACAACTTAGGAACGAGTTTTAGTATGTTACTTCACTAAATCAAACAAAACTTTTCATTCATAGTAGTGGAGTTCTAATCTATTCTTGCCCTCTTTTCCACTCTCAAGCTGGTGGACCACAAGAGAGGGGTTAACTTCAAAACAAAATCAATCGGTTAATACTAACGTCAATACTAGCAGAACAGTATAGTTTGTCTGCTCTGATTTCTTTTCCTCTACAAAACTTAGAAAAGTGTGTGTGTGTGTGGGGGGGGGGCAGCTAAAATTCAGGGAGGGGGGGGAAGACATTGCCCATCTTAATATCCTGGCAGATGTGACTTTCAGGAACTCTCTTCTGGGGTTGAATATAAATTTCAAAGGTTTATGATCAGATTTTAATAGAAATTTCCTTCCCAGCAAAAAATTTTTGCTGTGCTCCACACAATCGCAAATGCCTCCTTCTCAATATTCAAATAATTCGCCTCCACAGATGTTAGTCTTCTGGACAAGTACATTAAAGGCTGATCCTCTTGCAACAATATTGTCGCTTATAGCACAGTCACTGGCATCTGTAGTTAATGTCAATTCTTTTGCTGGGCCAAAAATTTTAACAACTGTTTTTTTTTTTATGAGTGCCTTTTTTAATTTCTCAAAAGCAACCTCCTGTCATTTTGTTCATTGAAACTCAGTATTCTTCCTTATTTTGTTAAATGGTTCCACAAGGTCATTTTATTGTGGCAAATATCTGTTATAGAAATTGGTTAATCCTAAAAAAAAGATTCTACTTTTTCTATTTCTGGGTGCAGCTATCTCTGATATCTTATTAATGAGTTTATCATCCGGCGGTATACAGTCTTTCGATATTTGATATTCTAAGGATGAAATTTTTTCATAATTAAATTCTAATTTATTGTAATTGTCATACCTGCGCTATTTAATTTTCTCAAAACTTTTACTCTTTTTTTTTATTGTAAGCACCAATGCCAATGGTGTCCTGATATACAAATATATTTTTAATCCCATCTGAAACATTTTGGAAAACGTGACTTTATATTTATACCTCTAAACAACTGAAGAGTCCATCTTATTAATCCAATGGGGGGGGGTGTTCATTGTGGTGACTTCTTGAAACTTGCTATCAATTTTTATCTGATTATATGCTGATTTAAGGTCAACTTTAGCAAAGTATTTCAATACCAGTAAACTCATGGCAAGCTGTTTCAATGTTTGCCAGTGGGAATGAATCCAAACAAATCTGGTGATTCACGCCTACCTTATAATTGCCACAATTTTTTAAGTCTCCCTTGGGCTTCCATATTACCACAAGGGGTGAAGTCCAATTTCTACCACACTGTAGCTTACTATTTCTAATATTCCTTGTTCTCCCATTTTGTTCAGTTTAGCAACAACCAAGGGTAGCATGTGAGCAGGAACTTTTCAGGTTTGAAAATAAAAAAGGTTGACTGCTTTAAGCCAAATACTCACCTCATATCCCCTTAATAATCCAACATCTGGTTCTACAGACTTCATGAAATTTATCAGCTTCGATGTATCCATTATTAATACATCAATTTCTAGAAGACTGTGACTTTTGATGTTTTCCACCACTATAATGGGTATTATCTCAAATCTGTTTTTTGTCTCAAATGTGCCTTCAAAGTATCCTAAAATTTTGACAATTGATCCATGAAGCTTTTCTTTAACTTACTAAATACCCATTCTTTTCACAAAAAATTCCTTGGTATCAACATAACACTACTTCCAGTATCGACCTGCATGAACAAAGTTACTCTATTCAATTTCACCATTTCTCTACTTTTATCCTGTTCTTTTATCTCAAATACTTCCATATTTTTTAAAATCAGAGGATTTATATTTCCCACTCGCTTTTCATATGTGCATATTGTCTGGAAATGATTCCTCTTTTTAAACTTAAAACACCATTTCCCAAAGGTTGCACACTTATTTTTGTCCTTTTCATGTTCTTTATTGCCAATATCTGCAGACAAGTAAGCTTTTAGTAGCACAATAAGTCATACTGCATTCCGAGGCATTAAATTTCTTAATCAATTCCAAATGTTGTAAGAACTCTACACATGCTTCCAGATTCATATTATGAGCTTGAAGCTTTTCTAAAATTTTATGCTTAAACAAGAAATCAAACATTCTTTCAATCAGTCTTAGTAAAATCAGCTTGTTCGATAGACATTTTTGATAGACATTTGTTCTGAAACTATTCTTTCAAACTTCTTAAATCGCTGTACATACTGTATAATAGTTTCGTTCAGTCTCTGTCTACTTCTGAGAAATTTAGTTCTTTCTGTTATGACCAATCTTTTTTATGATCATGTATTTGCTTTTATGATGGCAGCAATTTCTACATAGGCTAAATCTTCCAACACTTTGGGATAGACCATGACAGAGATTATTTTTATGGCTTCATACCTCACTGAGACCAAAAACAAATTCATAACTTCATTTTCTCTTCCACTAGCTTTCATGTCCTTTAACTTTTTCACTTTATTTACATTGTTGGGATTGTTGTCCTCATCTTTATTATGATATTCACAACGTTTCGGCTGTTGTAAGCCTTCTTCAGGTGACATTTCTTGGAATTGTGAACCAAACCATTGGCAGTACATAGTTTTAATTGGACTATTCAATTCAAAATGGAATCAAATGTTTGAATGTAAATTGGTAGAAATTCTTACTTTTTGAGATTCCAAAATTTCTGCAGATTGTCGACATTGGTAAAGCAGCAACTTTTTTAGGCGCTTACTGAAAGGAGAAAAGGTAAATACATAAATTTATCAACTTCCAGTGAATAATATAAAATACGAGAGATCCACCGTGGATATTTTTTCATGCACAAATAGCAAAAGGAGAAGAAATAAAAAAACAAAACTTCACAGGCTGTGAGTAAAAAAAGGAAAAGCAAACAAGCAATGAAATCAGGCTTAGAAGATCATGTATGTAGAGAAAAAAAAGCACATGAAAAAACACAGCTCTACAAATTTAAATAGTTTTCATTATTGAGTATAAAAACAATTATTGTTTTCTTTCAAGTTGAAAGAAATGAGTTACAAATTCCTTGCAAAGAAAGTTCAATAAAAAATATTTTGCTTTTTTTTTTTTAACCACACAACAGTAATGAATTGCATTAATGAGTGAAAAGGTGAATGGAACTACATAATGAGAGTTACATTTGTGTTATTTTATGTATGCATATAATTTTTCAGCAGTCAACAATCAGTGCTATGTTGTTACTACTGCTATTATTTGTTTACATATCTTTGTCAGTATGGTTTTTGTGTTGTAAGATTTACTTTAGAATGCGGGAGGATATTGCAAGAATATTTTAATTCAGTAATTATAAGAAAGGTGGATAATCAATATTGTGTACAAAATTCCTGCTCATTGGTTTACTGAAAAACTGTTTTTTCTTAATTTAGGCAATGTATTTATACAAGAAAAAAAAAAATCAAGAAAGCTAAAAGTTTAGATTTACTAAACTCAGAAGTTTATTAGTAAATATTTCCCAATTTTTTAATATCAATTTTTAAGAGGGAAAATATTGTTAACCATTTTCTAGAGTGAGTTTACAATTGTAGCTTTCAATATGGCTGTCTGCTTTTTTAAAGCTGTAATAGCATTCAAGATAATGTTGCCAATTGGTTGCCAATAAAGGTTAATGTGGAAATTTTAATTTGGAGCTCGTGTGACCCTATTTTTGGACAAAAATGAGGTGATTTCTAAGTGAGCTGATTTTTGCATAGAATTGAGATTTTTGGTGACATTACTGAAATCTATTGAATTATTCTACAATTATTTTTAATGGGACTCCACACATGTATACAAGGCAAAAGATGCAGACCATTATTTGAGATGAACAAAGCTGTACATATGAATTTATTAAATAATAAATGCATGTATAGATTTTAAACAATATTGCTGACTTTAACATTAGTTAATTTTAATTCCTACACCATTTTTGATAACATTATCATTGATAAAAGCATGAAGACTGACAAAATAAACAAGGAATTATGTGTAAATGTATTGTTTAGTATCAGGAGTCAACTCTGGCTGGCAGTTATTTTTGGTCATTTTCAAATAAATCCTGATTAAATTCCTGCTTAAATAGAACAGATTGGAACAAAGAATTGACGTTCCTATCAGTTGTCATTGTTTTCTTTTTTAATAGATCTGCATAAAAAAAGAAAAAAAAAAAGATGAATCCATGAAATACTTGATTCCATTAACCAAAGTTCCATTTATCCTGATTCGACTGGATTCATTTTTTTTTTTTTAAATCATACCAGGTTGTTGGTGAATGTTACTGCTTTATTTAGTTTGTCAGGACTAAAGAGTATAAGTCACTTGAAGTTACAAAGGAATGTTGTACCATTTCTAAAGTTTGCATTCAGAGTTAAAAAAAAAAAAAAAAAAAGAGATGATTTCTAGCGAGGAAAAAGGAGAAGAAAAAAAAAAAATGACAAACCTGAAGTAAGGATTCGTCAAATCATCTTTCTCAAACAAACTTTTCAGAAGCACATTTCCAATCTGTAATCTGGAAAAATGAAAAGGATGGAACAAAAAATAATTTCAATTTATCAAATAAGTTTAAAAACTTTTTTTACACAAATAATATCGTAAAACAAACAGATTAGGGTCGAATTTCCACAGTTATTTTTTTGTTGAAAACTTTGAACTTTTTTTTTGTTGTGTTTACTTTCATCATGAGTGGAAGTGGGGGGGAGGACATTTTTTTTTTTTTCTTTTTTTTGGAGGAGAAAAGTGACTTTATTTCCTGAGGAAGGGGGGGTGAGTAAGAAAAAATTATTATTGGAGGAAAAGACTAATTTCTTTATCAGGAGATTTTGAAAAATATTAATTATAATTAAAATACTCTTTTTGCTTAATTATTTAAGCTTTATTTTGGACAAAATCAAATTGCAAGGAATGGTGGCGGGGGGGTGAAGGAAGAGGAATCATGTAGTCATGCATTAGAAATAGGGAGTCTATCCATTCATAAAAATCAGTATTTTAAATCTTGATCTTTATACTCACCACTGACAGAAATGTGCATGTACTGCCTTATGTATGCGTCTGTTACATTGCCTTATGTATGCATTTCTTAAATTGTCTCCTGTATATATTAATTATATTATCTTGCAACTTTATTATTGCATGTTAATCTGTATCTGCATTTACTACCTTGTATTCTTTTCTTTGACAATTTTATCTTGTAATAAACCAGTTGGCTAAATACAGCCCTTCAGTAAGCTTAATGAATGGACATGAAACCATTTATTCCGTCTGTCAGAGTTTATGTTTAAGAACAGTGCAAAAATATTAGAAATAATCATTGAACGGTTTCTGTATAAAAAAAAAACGTCTATAAATTTTAATTAAAAAATGAAAGTCTAATTTGACAAATCGTTTAACAAGTCTGATTTTTAATTTGATTTAAGACATGACAGTAATTAGTCGAATCAATGAAAGAATTAGAAAAACAATGTGACAAGTTTCCAGAATGATTTCTTAAGCAGACATGTTATTGTCTCCTGACGGCATCCTTAAAAAGAACACACAGGTGATTTTTCTCTTCAAGAAATGAGAGTAAAGATAAAATTCAGATACTCACTTTTCAACCGTCAACTCTCTCCGTGAATTGATGCAAGTCTTTTGTTGGAGCTTTTTGATGAGCCTGGAAATTCTGAAAGACAAAAATAATTAAATTGTTAACCTTTCACACTCTGCATTATTAATATTACTTCTCTTTCGACTGGATTCTTTTTCAAGGCCTCTCAATTGCAGTATCTTTATTGGTAATTTCACTTGTATGCTGTTGCCATAGCAAGATATGACAACACAACTATCAACTTCAAATACACTATTGTTCAGGAATCAGAGTCACCTTTAGTGGCAGGGTAAATCTTTTGTATAGAATGATAAAGGTTAAGACAATGAGTGATAAGGAAAGTGTAGAAAATTTGAAATATCTTTAACATTATAGGTAGGTAAGCTTATAGAAGATTGATGCCACACATGGTCAGGTGTTTCTGTTATATATTTAAAGATGCTTGATAAAAATCCAAAGAAGAATCAGCAATATTATTGGTCCTTATCTGGCATCACAGCTTCAAACACTTTCCCATCACTTTAAAGTTGCTTCCGCACTTTATTTTTTCCTATGAATACTTTCATGGTAATTGTTCGGATGAGTTCTTTGCTATGATACCTTGATTTTTTGAATTTAAATGCTGGCCTAGACTGGCACTGAGATCCCATCAATTTACAGTTGAACTGGCTAGATGCAACCATAAATTCTATGCTAAGTTTTTTTTCTCACACTTCTTGCTTGTGGAACTCCCTGCCAGCTCTATTCTTTCCAGCCAACTTTAATCTGTAGAAATTTAAATGTAATCTCAATCGCTATTACTGTCCTCCTGATTACTCTTTTTCTCTTCCAGCTCATTATAAATATTTCTGTTTCTGATTCTTCCACATCCTGTAACCCCTTGCGTCTTAGTGGCTTTACTACCTTGCATAGGCTGATACTGGTTAAAAAAAAAAAAAAATCCTTTTTGGTTAGGCTGAGAACTTTTCAGACCCACCTATTTATATCTCAAAGGAGTCAAATGACGACAACTGTGTATTTGGTGTGGGAAGGAGAATTAGACGAGCCGAGACTCTTAGGATGAAAGAAAGAAGTTAGTGTCTTTGACAAAGCCATAACCAATAATTAGGAGACACATCAGTAAAAGACTAACAATGGTATGCACTAGAAATGTGAAACATTTAACAAAGATTAAAATGATGTAAAGATGGTTTAGAGATTTACTAATAGAATAACATGTAAAGTTTATTTCAACTTGATGTTGATCTTTGAGGCCATAATGATAAGATTTAATTCATTTTTTTTTTCTTTTTAAGATTAACAGAAACAATTAATAGGAAAAAAAAATAAAAAAATCAGATTTATGATTCACTCACTCAATCTCGATGTCTGCATCCGATGGAGGAAGAGTCATTTTCTCTAAATAAAAAAAAAAAAAAAAAAAAAATCTATTAAAAGATGAACATAAAAACAAATTTTAAAATAAAAATTAATCTTTCCTTGTCTTTGTTGTCCTGTAGATGGCTTAGAAAGTGCTGCAGTTAAGCCTCATCCGATTCCCACACAATTGCGAGTTCAATCTTTGGATAAGGTAGTGCAGGAATATATATATATATATATATATATATATATATATATATAGATACACCTAGTGAGCCAGACAAACCTACCTAGGTTTCACCTAAACGGATTGTCAGGGAAAGTTTGGCTGTATTGAGCTCTTTTGTTAGTTACTCGTATCGGGGTTTTTTCTTTGGGCTTCAGACCTGCATCTGTGCTTGATTTTTTGTCGGCAGAAGTTCATGTTTGGAGCTCTTTCTTTTTTTTAAACCTTTTTTCCCTTGAGATTGATTTGATTAGCAAATCAAAAATTCGAGGGTTTTTCGAAACGAGTCTAGTTATCTATATATATATATATATATGGCAAGACAGAAGGATAGAAATTGGCCTGAAAGGATGTATGAAGTGACAAGTAAAAAGGATCAAGATCTTCATGGATTAACCATTTAACATTCAATACGCTCAAACCCAACCTGCAAATGACGGCACTTCCCAAACCCAGCCTGCAAATGACGGCACTTCCCAAACCCAACCTGTAAATAATGAGATGTCATCAAAGAATTAATTGCGATGATGATGTCATATATTATGACAAAACATACATGGGACAAGTTACAGCAGGTTGAACATTGAGAGCCAATATTTACAGGGTGAGGTGAATGCTTGAGAATTAAATAAAGACCTTTGTGTTATATCGCAGACAATATGCTGCATTATAGAAGGTCTTAACACTTAACGTCTTTTCCTGCAATGCAAATTTCTTATTTAAAATTTTTATTCCATGTCCCATCAGGATGCAAGCATCACAACTCTCCACAGCTTCCTTTTCTTTTGAAATGCTATATCCCTTTCAGGGTGCTTGCAATCATAACTCTCTACAAATTCTTTTCTTTTATTATCCAAGAATTGCCAGGACTTTTTAGGTAATATAATTAAGTGGTTTCTCATTGCATTCTTTACAGTTTGGGATTTGGAATTGTCCTAGACTGGCCACTGCCTGAAGACAAGGAGCCCAACTGACCCTGGAAGCAGGATGGTTTCCTAAGGGCATTAGTGAGAAATTAGATGGAACAGACTAGTCCAGAATTTGAATAGGTCTTACTGGTTCCATTATAATCATTCTTACAAGGTGAAACAAAAATACCTCCCACATTTTAAATGGTCACCTGTGTAGCGCTAGTGAACTTAGGCAAGTGGCAATGATGTCTTCATCTAGCTAAAGTCTTACCATTTTTTTTAAGATACCATCAGTTACCATTATGGCTTGGACTGGTGCAGACAATGTGTTTGGTGTTGAAATGTTTTTTTTTTTTTTTAAAGATTTGTGAATCTGTAGTTGCAAGACAGAGCTTTACGTGATCAGTTCAGGTGATGTTGGGATGACACTGTTCTGGATAGAAAATCAAAACTTCAGGGCTACAGGTTCAACATTGAAGAGAAATACCTCGATGCACTGAAACTTTTCAGTGATGGAAAACTTTAGAAATCGTCTACAACAGTGTATGGTGAATTGGGGCCCTCATTAAGAGGATGTCATTTTTTAAAACCAAATGAATAAAAACTGTAGACATTTGTTTAAACAACAGTGAAATATTTTTTTAATAGCAGTTGCCTTGGTCTTCTTGTCAACCTTTAAAATGTGGGAGGTATTTCTGCCACACCCTGTACTACATGCACATAACAGAAATGACTGTAATTAAAATACTGGTTCTTTAGTAGTAGACAATTGGTTGCTTTGTTTTAAAAGCATTTAGAAACAAGTACCATCTACCAACAAGAATGGGACATAACACAAGGCCAGTGTTTATATGTGAGAACATCCACAGACACCTAGGTTATATCAAACATTGCTCAGATCCCTCAGCATAGTGATACAGATCCCCAAAAAACAAGGGATCAATAAATTTTTTCTGTCTCAACCAAACATGAAACAAGGTCGGCACTGAAGAATTTTGAATGAGAACTATGAAACAACAAACAGTTGTTTTTGTTTGGAATCAAAGTTTTTTTTTTTTTTTTAACCAGCAGGTGCAAGACACGACTATCAAAACATATGTGCTGTACTTAAACAACATGGTTGACCTTTGGGATGTGGATAAGGTTATATTTATTTTGTAACTTTTCTGAATAAAAATGATATTCTGAAACAAGAGCGGCTTCAACAAAATGTTATGTTTTGAGGCGTTCAAAAGAAAATGAGGAACAACATCTGTGGGTTTGTTGCTGATCGGCCAGAGTACAAACAAATAACAAAAAACTTTCGACTAATATTATCTCGGTAACATAATAAATCAGTTGTCAAAAATGGAAGTTCATAAAATATAAATATAAATATAGACAAAATGTCTATCTATGCTGGGCACAAGGTCAAAACTTTGATTGAAGCTGGTTTAGAATGGTGTAAGGAAGAGTTATTAATAGTCTTCTTAAATCAAAACTATATCTACTGACGAGTGGATGGAGTGATTGTTGGGGAGTCTGTCTATGAAACTCTAGGGTTGGAATGCTGAATATAACATCAATCAGATAAGTGACAATTTTTTTTGTATTAATCATTAAGGACACATGGCACAGTGGATAAAGGCGTTAGTTAGATCCAGTGACAGAACCCAAAGAGTGTGAGTTCAATACCCTTTTAAGGCAGTGGAGAACTTTCAGAGGGAAATTAACAGGAGATAACTGATATCCATCAAACACGGCACGTGGAACTAGAACAGTCTACCCCAGTGAGCGAAATAAAGGGTTTGGTGCAACATTCCAACCATCTGAAGATGGCTGAAACGTTATAATAAATATAGCGACAAAGATGAGGACAAGAGTCCAAATAATGTAATCATTATATATATATATATATATATATATATATATATATATATATGGAACCGTCATTTACGCTGGCGTGCCTAACCTCTCAGCCACAAAGGAGCGTTCGGTAGACAAGGTCGAATTTACTGCTTATTGTGGCTGAGAGGTTAGGCACGTCAGTGTAAATGACGGTTCCGTATAGGATGCACGTTCGAATCCTGTCAAAGGACGAATATTTTCTATGAAAATTTCTCGGACATTCAGGCCGGTAAATGTTATTTAATACTGTTTATTATAAACAGAGCATTTACTTAAATACTTGTATCTATAAAAAAGAATGTTAAACATAAAAAATGTCTTTAATAAATAAATTGTCGGACTTTGTCCATTTCTTAATATATGACGTCATTTGTTTACATTTGATACGCCAGAGCAGTTATGAATGTACGAGATTCATGGAAGATTGAAGTTTATAAGCAGTAAATATATATTACAATGAATCATTCATACAAAAAGTATATTAGTAAAGTTAATGATATAAACTGGCAAAATCCTTTTGCAAACAAAATTTTAAAGTTGCATTAACCTACGAACTACTCGATGAATGTTATGATCCTTGTTTTTAATAACTACAAGCTGTATAAGGTCTTTTTTTATTCTGCAAGTACTTTCAACGGTACATACAGTCATCATCAGGCATGGAAATTATTTTGTTTTTAGTAAATCCAGGTAGCATCAGAGACGAAAGATTAAATGCGAACTGAAATGGTTTTTTTTTAAATGTGTTATTGTTAACGGATAAAAACATTGGGAGTGTGCAGTTGCAACGCTAAGGTTGAATTTTTTTTTAAATTTAAGAGTGCGTTTTTTTTACTAATATGGTAATTTGAGAAATAATATATATATATATTATATATATATGTGTGTGTGTGTGTGTGTGTGTGTGTGTGTGTGTGTGTGTGTGTGTGTTTGTGATACCATACCTATGGACTATAATGGGTATGTCCCAATCCTTATAAATACTGTGGAATATACAGTCTGGAGAGGACTCACCACCAGCAGTTGATTACTCACTAAAGATTACCGTTCCATTTCCAACCTTTGTTTTGGTTATTCTTATTCAGTAACCATTTCTAGGTTACAACAATATATAATTAATACAAGTAAAAGGTTTGGCACTTAGCTGATTGATATTACTTTCAGCATTCCGATTCTAGAGTTTCATAGAGTCATCCTTTGGGGAACCACTCTGCTTATACTTCTAATTTTGCTTTTTTACATGAACTTTGCATTAGTGCAAGTTCCCCCTCACCCCACAGTGTATGCTTATGTGTGAATATGTGTGTGTGTGTGTGTGTGAGAGACCATCTGCCCGTACACGAAGAATGATGTGGTCATTTGTTCTTTTCATGGTTTTCTTCACTTTACACTCATTCCTTACTGTTTTTTTTTTGCTTTTTCTCTCTTTTTCACTTGTAGCCATTTTGACATCCAATTTTCCATATAGATAAGTTGACTCTGAAGTCAACATCCAGTGGTGACAGTCTGTTTCATGCTTAAAATGCAATCATCAGGCCTGAGGATAGCATTTAAACAGGAAACACTGGATGTTAAGTTTTAGTTTTAGATATGCTCTATCCCAGATATTGAGCACTTTAGCTCATGAATATAGCATATTTTAAAACTAATTATATAATGTGTGTGTGTGTGCGCCAAAAGATAGAAAAAAAAAAAAAAAAAAAAGGAGAAAGAATAGTGAGAGACTATAAGAAAAAAAAAATTATGAAAAGAAGAAATAACCACACTATTCTACACACATGCACATACACGTGTATACACACACACACACACACACAAACAAGAAAAAAAAAATTAACCTAATACCAATAAAAAGTACACTATTTTTCTATTAAGCTAAAAAAAAAAAGAAAGAAAGAAAATGACAAAATTGGCAGACAATTACTTATACCTCCTGATGAGTGGACTGAATGATTACAATGATTATGTCTATGAAACAAAATACAACACTAATCAACTAAGTAACAAATTTTATA